AGAAGAAGAAAAATTTCATTTTCGAAAAAGGAAATTTAAGCACTCTTTAAAAATACCCAATAAAAAAAGCACCTTTAAGGGCTTTAAAAAAAAAACGAAAATAAGCAACTTTAAGCACTTTTTAAAAACGCTACGAAACATGTTACTTAAAGATTCCAGAACATCATCTGTGTCTTATTCAATAACGTAAGCAAGGGTGCCATGAACTTATATTTTTGAGAGGGAAAAATTCATATTTTGTCGAAGGAAATTTCGAATTTGACCGAATCATAAATTAGTATGTAATTCAATGGCTCCAATCAAAAAATATTTTGTTGCTAACATTTTCTCTTGTTAATATTTCCCCTCCGTAGCAGATAAAAATCGCGTCAAGACACGTCTTCGGATCATTCTCAGGGATGTTTCCCAGACAGTTGTCAATAGCCTATTGTGCAGCTCTAATGCGACATAAATAAAGTATAACTACTACTCCACCAATATATTACTAAATTAACAATATTATACTTAATTATTCTAGACAAGGAGCCGAGATTGGTCATTAGAAAAGCACTGAACAGTTGAGAAGATCTATGGTTCGATTCCCAAAGTTGGCTTGATGATTTAGAATCAACAGCTCGAAATTTCTTGAACCAGGTTTAGCGTTGGCGCTATCGTTACCGTAAACGTTACGCAATTTTTCTCAAGCTGGATGCGCGTCTTTCCCCTTACGGAAATAAACTATGGTGAAAATGAGCATTTTGATCTTCCATGTTCAACGTGCTGTCAAATCTTCAAAACTCAACGAAATATCTCAATTTGTGAAGCTTAAACTGTCTGCTATCCATAACGTAATGCCTGACAGGTGATTTTGATTTGAAAGATTAATCAGGAAAGCCAACTCAGATTGATTTTGACAAAATAGGCATTGATCTAGTGAAACCGACACGACACGAGAGATTGCAGGGATACTAAAGATCAGTAAAAAAAAAATTATCACGTCAATCTAAAGAAGCTGTGATACGCAAGCAAGCTCGAAATTTAGGCATCTCATGAACTTAGAGAAGTTCATTTGACGAAACGAACAAACATCTGCGATGTGCTCATGAAACGATCATACTCTAAAACGAATGGTTATTGGTGATGAGAAGTGGGGTATGTAGAACAGTGTGGTGCGCGAACGGTTTTGGTCCCAAGGTGAAGATCCACCATAAACGACTTCAAAACCTGAACTTTATCAGAGCCAGGCTATGCCCTCAGTGCTTCGGTTTTGAGCTCCAACCAAGTAACGAAATAATCAATTCAGACGTGTAATGTGGGCACAATTTTTTTATAACCGTCGTTGAACAGCCGAACCAATTTTATGGGTTCACGACTACTAATGTTCATCTCAGTAGCCTTGTTATTTTGAACCCAATTCAAAAGACAACGGAACTCCTGGATCGAGTATGGAGAAATTTGCCTTCGTGGAGAACTTTTTGATGGAACTAACACGCATTTGCACGTTACATGGAGAGGAAGACCACGAGAACCTCCCACGCATAGCTTGACGGCAAGGGGACTCTAATCCATGATCCGTCTACCACTGAGAATATTTCACGTCAGCACTGTGGTCGGTGCAAGCCGGATGCGGAATTCGTATCGACTGGGATTCGAACCCGGTTCGCCTCATTGGAAGGCAGAGGCATTGATTTGTTATAGGAAGCCCCAGAGGTATTGATTTGTTATGGGAACATGGAGGACTTTGCGACTCGACAGATTTAACGCGCATCAGTCACCATTTTCTACACGGGGAGTCTTCAGCCGGCGAACCCACGAACTCTTGGACATGGGCCCAGCGCCCTACCGACCAGGCTATCCCGGCCTACTACAGGCATTTGGACAGTTTGAACAAAGCTGCCATCCAGTAACGTTTTTAACTCGTCAATCGTATAGGAATAGCGAGACCACAAACATCTTCTGCAGCCAGTTAAAAGTTATTGGAGCTTTTATATGGCATGTGTTGTCCCACCCACCATACTCCCCTGACCTTACATACTCAGATTTCTACTTGTTTCCTTGAGTGGAATAACGTAACTCCTTGATTGGAATAACGTAAAATTCAGACGAGACTGTCAACCAACACCTTGTTCAGCTACAAAGCAATACACCCAATATAAAGCTCAAACTGTGTTTGAAGAGAATGAGATAAATTTGAATGCATGCACTGCATTGAATCCTCTCATTTCCAAATTTAAATCCAATGCAGAATTTAATATTGATGCAGGCAATTCAAATAAATTTAATTAAAACAAATTAACTCACCATGTTATTCACCATTGATTCCATTCTGCATAGATTGGAAGAGGAAAGCGTAAGATATTGTTCGTGTTTAGTTATATAGTTACTTTTTATATAGTTACTTTTTTTCAACTATATAAAATTGTGTACTCGTTTTTTTTGTTTTTGTTACTATTAATAAATTCGAGTTATTGACAGTAAAATTTGAGTACGTAAAAATAATTGACATGAGACTAGGTATTTTCAACAGACAAAATTTTGATTTGCGTTGAGTCCATTTTGGACAGAATTCATTATAATTGGGAGAAGAAAAAAAATAGTTCATTGATTAAAAAAAAAAAACTCTTGAAACTTTTATAAAAAAGGAGCGAAAATCTTATTTGTCAAATATAAAATGCTTTTATTAACATATTTACAACATTTAATCAAAAGTTAGTCAAATTTCTCGCAATTATATTTTTAAAAAAATTGTTCAAAATTTAACTTTTGATAAACAAGTAACACAAAATCACATATTCAAATGATAATGCCTTTTAAAAAATAAAATATAAAACATTTTTTTTCACATAACTGATGAGCACAATTTAAAACAATGGCAAGTTATGACTATTTTTCAAACAAAATAATACATCAACATAAGAAGTATGGACAATACAAATTTAAAACAATATTATGTAAGAAAATTTCTTAGAAATTAATTTTCTACAAATTATGTGTTAGAGGAAATTTAAATATATTAAAAGCATGTTTTTGGACTTTACCTTGTCATCAAAAATGAGCAAATTACAAACCCCTCCTGCCATGTTCATGTAAGGAAGTCACAAATCCTTTTTTTTTAACTTTAATTCAGACTATTACCGCAGTAATCTAATTCTCACAATTTTGGGATTAAAATAAAATAAGAGATTTAACTGACATATTAAAAAAAAAACGTATTTAAAAAACTTATTTCATAAAATTTCATATCTCCCTGAAGAAATTTTTTCAGACCCCTTTTTTTTTTGGTCGGTACTTTATTTGCGTCGCACTAGAGCTGCACAGTGGGCTATTGGTGACGGTCTGGGAAACATCCCCAAGTATGATCCGAAGACGTTCCATCAAAATTTTGCTCCCCTGCAGAATGGATGGCTCCTCTTCTCTGGTAGCTTGATGACCTGCGTGCAAAGCCGAGCACTTTACGGTAGAACAGTTTAACGAGGACCTATACTGCACACCCTCGGTCCCTATGCAGTCTGATCAAAGTGGTCACCCACCTGCTTTGGTAGCTCGATGACCTGCGCACGAAGTCGGGCACTTTACGGTAGAACAGTTTAATGAAGACCTATACTGCACAGTCTGATCAAAGTGGTCATCCACCTGCTTACTGACCCCAGCCAGTGATGCTTGATTTCGGTGTTCTACTGGGAACCATGTCTTTACAATCAGTCCACTGCAGGACAGAATTTAGATGCAATTATACATCTAAATTCAGGACAGATTATTCCAAATAGTTTGAGTGTTCTGCGGTTTTCACCACTGATATTAAATATTGCTTGAATCCTTGACAAAATTGACATAATTTTTTCGTTTTATGTATTTCGTTGATTTTTTTTAAAATGTGAAAATAAGGAGATTTTAGAGTCTTAGATAAGCATTGGTCATAACCCTGCTCCACTCTCGTCAACAAAAATAAGCAAATCGCAATTCCTTCCTCCCCTTCAGTGCTTACCTAATATTTGAACGACCCCTTAGTCCTAAATTGACATCTTTAAAAATGCAAATACAACAATATAGATATTACTTAAACCTATGACCTTCTGCTTAAAATGGAAAATACAAAATATACTCCGATTGGAAAACAAATAGTTAAAAAAAATTGATATCTTTGCAATGCCATTTTTATAAATAAAAATAGGACAATTTTATTTGATGTTCAACCAAAACATTTTCAAATTAAAGTATTCTTGAAATTTATAATTTGCAATAAATTTTAAAATAAAACATATTTTATCCAAAACCATAGTTACGTTTAAGTGGTAATAACAAATAATAAAAACTATAAACTAAAAAATATACATAATTACGTTTTTCTACGACAGGATTTTAAATCATCACATAAACATTGACTAGTTGTCTAATAGAACACATTTTCAACTTAACATTAGACCAAGCATACACATAACACCGTCAGCATAAATAAAAAGTCAAAAAGAATATTCAAAATATTATTTCAGACGAATGGCAAATTATCAGAGCATCAACATTTTAGATATCTTCGAATAAGTATTGTTATCACAAAGATGTCTTTGAGGACAATGGCATAGTGAAATAATAAAGAATAAAAAGTTCTTTTTTTTTCTTTTTTTTTTTTTAAGAAGCAAGTTGTAATTCATGGACAACTTCATTACTACTATTTACTAAGGATGTACAGAAATGATTGACACAATGAAACTATAAACAATATATCAGGGAAAACCAGTGAAATCGACACAAAAGAGCCTGATCTACCAGGAATAACTTGTGCTACGTGGAGATAAACAGTAGAAGACGGTATAAGGTAAAATCAGGAAATATTGCTAATGTTCAGTTATAGCATTTCTTACATTGGCCACTTTTTAAAATATGAGGCCACTTCTTCAAAAATTTAAAACAATTAAAAAACTGTTTATAATAATGTAAGACAATTCTTTTTGAAACATTTCTTAAAATATGAGGAATATTACAAGAATTATTAAAATGAAGAAAAATTTCAAGAAACAAATAAAGTTGACATACATAAATAATATTAAATTAGTAATCATTATTACTATTATAAAATATACATAATAATTACTTATTTATAAAAAATAGTAATAATAATAAAATGAACACGGGACTTGACGAAAAAGTGGGGATCGGGTGAAATTTATTTTAATTTTATTATCTCCATTTGTTACCTTTAGTTGCCCCATGACCAGCAGTGACCCTTAATTTTGCCCTATATCTCAAACTATGCTTTATTCATCAGGATAAAGGATCTAGTCAAGTGCCAACATGCTAAATATTTTGTGGAATCACACTCAATTGCCCATAGCTATAACATTCAAATGATGTTGATATTGTTTTTCATTATAATAATATCAAAAAAACACATGAAAATGTTTTACATGAAAATATTTTTGATTACCTTATTGCATGCAAGCAATTAGTACATATATACTAACTTGTTGTTAAATTTTAGAAAATACATAAGCAAATGATTGTAAGTAAGAGGTAAATAGAAAATTTTACCTCAAAGAAAAAAAAATTATCACATAGTAATGAAAGTAAAAATACACAGATGCTTCAAGACATGAGAATTTTTAAAATAATTGTCATGTATGATAATAATACTTAAAAATAAGTAGTCACAATATACATGAAAAATAAAAGGACAGTATTCTGAAAATAAATCGGTAAGTCTACATCAACAGTTCTTCGTTATGTAGACTTCTATAAGCATTTGATGCTTTTATTTATCACAGTGATAAACTCAAAAGAAAATGTCTATGAAATGACGACATATTTATTCCTTTAGTGGCTGAATTGTGGAAACAGCTGGAGTAAATTTTCTTTTAGCTAAAAAGAAATAAAAACATTTATATTTTAATGACATAAATGTTACAATTTAATGTAAAGAAAAAGGTATGTTTAATTAATTGGGCAAATTAATTGGGACAAGTTACTTCTGTATCCTAAACATGTGGCAAAATGTGCTCCCCCCCCCTCAGCAAAGAGTGTGGCAAGATTTGTGACTTTTTTTTGTTGATATTTTTAAACAAAGAATTTTAAAAAAAAATTGTATGTTATTTAACATAGTTCAAAATTCAGCTGTATTAAAAAACGAATAAAAAATACCCTAAGATGTTTCTATAGATCATAATTTTTTAATAAATAAATAAAAATGCTCAAGTGAGAAAAAATTTCAACAACCATTTAATATATATATCATGTTTCAAAATTTTTTACCTTAAACTTTCATCTCCTCATATAATAAAATAAAGAATGTGTGTGAATGCCTATATGTCAGTATAATGGATTGTGGGTATATCAAAGACACTAAAAACAGAACTATCAACATGAAGCTAAATGAACACATTAAAAAACAAATTAAAAAAGTCTGATATTCGATTTTTTTAAAATAGATTTTTAAATATGAATTTTTTAGATAAATTTTTTTGTGATTTTCTTCGTTATCTCTGCATTTTTAAGTCCATCATGTTCAAACAAAACGTCCTAGAATTTATTAATTTTTTCATCTCAAAGTTTAGAAGTTTTGGTTTTCCTACGAAATGAACCATTTCATTTTTTCTTATGATTTTTTTCTACTTAAAAAAAAAAAATATTTAAATAACCCACTTTTTAATCATCTTAAATTGTGACATCTGAGAATTTATAGCAGACATTAACTCTGAATTTAGATAAACATATGTAATGAGTTTTCTTCTTTCATTTAAGACCCAAAATAAGAAGAAAAAAATAGTAATTTGTAATTGTAATTTTTAATTAATTTTTAAACACATAAAAAATTAAAAAGCTTTTGATTTCATTGGCAACTATCTCTACCACTGATGCCAAATTATTTCATCTTGCTTGTGCTTAGGGTCAACTGTTGAATCTGCTTTGCATTAGTATTGGATATATTTTATAACATTAGTGATTTGCTAGCTTTTAGCTCTATTAAACCAAGAATGAGTTTTATTGGGAGCATGTTTAATTAATTAACGAAGGAAATATTTTGCAACAAAACAAAGGGATCAATATAGCTGAGAGCATATACTTTATGGAGATACTCAAGAAAAAGCAGACTCTTTAATAGGGTCATCCATAATTTCAAAAACAGTGGTCCCTGTAACAATGGGTGCAATACTTTGAGATGGATTGTCATGGTTATGCAATCCATTCTTTTAGTTGGTTGTCCCTGAACAAATATTTCTCAAGTCATTTTCAAAATTAATGTTTAAATTAATTTTTAAAATGACAAATTTATTAGGGCTTAGGGTTATAAAAATATAATTAATTTAGAAATAAGGAATTAAAGATTTTTTAAATTAAAGGCTATTTTTATTATCTTGACTCATACTAAGTAGTGCTATTTGATTTATTATTTTTTATATCCGTCAATGAATAGCTAACCCAATTTTGAGTTTACGACTACTAATGTTCAACTCCGTAGCCATGTAATTTTGAACCAATCTAGAAGACAAGGAAACTCCTAGATCAGTACCCCCAGAGGTATTGATTTGTTATGGGAACATGGAGGACTTTGCGACTTGACAGATTTAACATGCATCATTCACCATCTACTACACGGACCCACAAACTCTTGGACATGGGCCCAATGCCCTACCAACAAGTATATCCTGGCCCTATACTAAGTAGTATGAAATAAAATTAAAATTTTGTGAGGAGAAGAAATAGACGGCATTCTTCTCTCAAAATTATTATAAGAAATAGGCAGTATTCTTCTTCTCTTTGTACAAAAAGCTTTCAATATATTGGTGAATTTATTGCAATAAAATATGTTGTTTTGCACAATTCAAATTAATAGAAATAGTTTTCAGTTTAAATTTTTTTCCTTCTCAATATTTTATTCTTACTTTATTTGCTATGCACCGTAATCTCTAGGGATTTCAAAATTTCAGTTTTTTTTTAAAGAATTTCATTCTGAATGCATTCTTAATTCAAAAATTTTCTTTTAAATGCCGTGAAATTTGAATAAAATTTTTCATGAATACTGTTTAGCTTGTTCGATGATAGAGAAAATAAATTATTTAATAAATGGGAGCGGGTCAAATTTATCTATAGAAACCTATTATCTGATCAAAACATAATACACAAAATTAAGAAGATATAACAACACATAAATTCAGAATTTTGAATGCTCTTTTTTTGTTTTTACCTATTTAAGGCAAATAAGAGGTCCCCGATACTGAGTGATATTTCTTTTATTTCTTGCATCAGATGTTAATTATAGCACCATTTACTCAGATTGAATTGAAAAGTATTTTGATAATGTACCCCCACTTATATTTGTTTTTGCTTGATGTTAATATTAAAGCAAAGAACATTTATGTAGAAATTAAAATACTTTAAAAACAAAACTCCATCTTTTTTTTCAAATAAATGTATAAATTCAAATGTAAATGTTGCTGAAGGCACCAGAGTCAACGTGGAACTGCAGCGTCTTAGTTTGTGTTGGCAAATATAAAGAGGGGGCAGAAAAGCAAAGAGATCATGCACAATTTTTACCCCATTCCTTTAATTTGCTTAAGAAATACCAATGACATAGAATCAGAGAAATGCTGCTGAATACAGCAGAATCAATGTGGAGCAATGACTTCGTGTGGGGAAAAAACAATGTGGAACTGTAAGGCTGTGAGTTCCTGTAGGTGAACTAGCTGGACGAAGCAGCAGATAGTTTTTGAATAAAAAAATAACTCCTTTAAGACCTGACAAAGGTAGAATAGCAGAATAATGGTATTTTCAGAATTTCATCAATGAAATTGTATACTCTAAGCAGGTTGTTAATATTAATTCATATCATTAATAAATATTAAAAAAAAGATTAAGAAAAGAAAATGGATAAAATTAGAGAAATGTCATGAAAATTATATAAAACATTGTAACAAACATAAAGAAATAATGTGGGCAACAATATAAGCAGAAAAATATGAATCTCTCTACCAGAAATCAGGAGAAAATGTTCTGTCTAAAATAAAAAGAAAAAGCAATAAGGAAAAAAAAAACATGCTACTAAGTAAGGACATTGGTAAAGAATAAGTAATGAGAAAAATAACATACTCCACACAGGAATAGTCAATTATTTTTGAACATTTATAATGTTTGGTGTTATTAAACAAATTTATTAGTATTATTAGTTAAATTATTATGCAGTTCTATACCTTTTACATAAGCTATAAGAAGAAATAGTGCAGAACACAAAAGTATTTTAGGTTCTCATTTGAAAGTTGAGTATCAGATGAAGCTTGGCAAAAATTATCAAGCTTTGCCATCATTGCCCCAGCTGGTTAGTGATTGGACACAGATGGAATTTTATTTTTGTTAAATTTAACTTATATAAATAAAATAAAAGATGTAGAAATCACATACTATGAAGAAAATTAAAGCACAAAGTAGGCAGCGGGAAAAAAGATAAAACTCTTTAAAGGTTTGTAACAAATGGGTTCAAGGTATATAATACTAAGTTACAACTAAGTTTAGTAGTAACTATGTATCCAATTAGTGTCCTGTGTATCCGTTTTAGAGCAGGAAGCTTTGTGGGGTATCCTGTAAACAGAAAAAAAGATAAAATTCTTTAAAGGTTTATAACAAATGGGTTCAAGGTACATATTACTAAGTTACAACTAACTTTAGTTGTAACTATGTATCCAATTAGTGTATCCATTTCAGTGCAGGGAGCTTTGTGGGGTATCCTGTAAACAGATAATCAAATTTCAATATTTAAACGTTAAAAATAAGTTCGAAAAACTTACGACGAACAATTTTCACATCTTCAATGATGGAAATATTTTTAGCAAGTAGATAAAATAGTACAGGAGTTACTCCTATAGCTAATGCAACAATTATGTTCGGATATCCTAAGTTGTAGTCAAAAGGAGGGAGACAATTATAAAGTTTCCATATTCTTCGTGTTAGATTCATCTGAAATAGAATAAGAAAAAAAATTTATATAGATCTTAGAAAATTTATGCATAAAATGCAATTTCAAAAGCAATTTGAGTACTTTTAAGGTAGATATATTCCAATCAAATCTGTAACGGATAGATTAATAAGTTATTTAAATTAGTCTTGAATTATAATTAAACTATATATGTGTGCAACATATTTAGTTTATAATTTAAGACTAATAATGACCAAGGATTCGTAAAATCAATTAAAGAAAAATGGAAAGAGAAAGAAATGTAGGGTTTGTTGTTTTCTGTTAAGGAAGATAACTATTTATTAACATCAAGTTTCAAAATTATTTAATTACAAAATTGGCAAGCAGATGGCATTGCTGCCTATGAAAATTAATTTAAAAATACCCATTATTAGCAAAAGTAATAAAACACATTCTGATGACAACATTAACTAATATGCTACAAGAAAAAACAGGAAGTAAAAAAAAAAATTTTTTTTTCCTTAGTCAGAAAGAAAAAAAAAACTTATGCTTGGAAATAATCACTCAGTTTATTTTGATAAAATTTTTTAATTTCTTATTTATTTCATGAGAAATTTTTTTACTAAATTTAAGAACTTAAGTAGGCTTTAGTGCTATTACACAACATAAAAAAAAAGCATTAATTGTTAAAAAATCACAGAACTTCTTTTTGCCAGTTTATAGTGTTAGAAGGATATTTTAAAACAGGATACATTTATTGATAAACCTTTTATAAATATATATTATTATTTTCTTACAAAATAATTAAACAATGAATGAGGAGCTGGATTTTCGATCAGGCAAAGCACAATTTCATTTGAAGTAGATTAATTTATATTTATTATGAAAAATGAAAATTATAGATTTTGGTCTAGTCCAATAAAAATTCAAATTAGAAAAATATAAATTTTATTTTTTTTAATCTACGTTATTATTGATAATATTTAAAGAAAAAATAAATAGAGAAGATAAACAAAATAATGACACTTATACATAAAAATATTGTTTAAATTATGAAGGTCTAAAAGCAGATGAAAAATTGCAGTGAAAGTGGAGAATAGTTGATGTTTTATGAATATAAAATTATTATTTTACTGTTAAACTTTACATCTGTAAAATAATATTTGTAAACATTTATTCAGAAAATGTTTTCAAATGTAGCATTTTTCTTGTATACATTTTTTTGTATACTTATACATGAAAATATTGTTTAAATTATGAAGGTCTGAAAGCGGATAAAAAAACTTCTGTGCAAGAGAAGAAAAGTTGGTGTTTTGTCAAGATAAAATTATTTTACTGTTAAAATTTACATCTGTAAAACAATATTTGCAAACATTTATTCAGAAAATGTTTACAAATGTAATTTTTTTTTCTTTTTTTGTAAGCCTCATTACAAGTAGCCACTAAACATACATATACTAAAACAATAAAACTAGTAATAAGAGTAAACACTTAATAATTTTATCTAAAGATAAATAAGAACATGGTATATGTAAATTATATTTCTTACATAATCTTAAAATAAAGTTTCAGTCAGAAAAATATTTGGAGATTCAGATATATGATGTTATTTATTAAATAAATGCTTAAATAGAATAAAAAGGTAATTTAAAATTTTAAGACATAAACATGGTTCACATTTTTTTTAGAAAAGTGTGAAGCAAAAATTAACCAGAAAATATTTTATAAGCATATAAGATATTTTCTACACAATTAAATATAAATTAGAAATTCAAAATGGTGTTTTTGAATTGTAATTCACATTTAAAAATTAAAAGTAAATTAACAAAATTGAAAAATTAAATATAAATTACAAGAAAATTCTGATAAAAAATCTATGTGTAGTGAATCTATTATATTTGAAATACACAAAATAAAAATTATCAGAAAAGCACTCTTCTAATACATTGATGACAAATTTGAAATAAATAAATAAATAGATCATTTAAATTTTTCATGACATTTTTAGTTCCTTTCTTTAAAAGAAAATTAAAAAAAAAGAGTTTTTTTTAAAAAAAAAATCATAAATATTTTATGGATAAAAAATGAACGATAAACATGTTGGTTAAAGATGTTTTTTTGTTTGTTTGTTTTTAAAAAAAGACATGTTTAACTGGATAAAGATGGTGATTACTAATCCTCATTAATTAAAGCCTGAAACATCTTCAATACTTCCACCTTTAATCAGCTAAAACTGGGTCTAACTCAATCTATGCTGGTTAAAATCTGAAGCTAATACCCACAATACATAAAATCCTTAAACCATAAAAAATCCCTAAATCATAAAAATACTAGTGCATGGAAAACAAGGCAATAAGTCTTAAAATTAAAAAAGAAAATAATCATTATTGTTGTGAATCTATCATATACTATGACACAAAGCCAAAATACTAGTCAAGGTTCAGTTTGGTATTACCTAATATAATATATTTCTTTACAGCAACAATCATAACACAATTACATACTTTAACGAACTACAATTGTATACCTGCCAACATTAGAGAAATAAAGTAAAGGAGATTTTAGTAGTGACATTTTTCAGGCTACGAGTAAAGTTTTGATATATCATGCATAATCATGTAAGTCAAAAAGAGAAATTTAAAATTGGAAATAATATAATGACTTACATTTAGCGAAGTAAAAAAAATGGATATAAATCGTAATCTAAAAAAGATTTTTTTGAACCATTTAAAATAATCACTTAAAACTATTTTATTTTATAACTGTTGTTGAACAGCTGACCCAATTTAGGGATTACGACTACTAATGTTAAACTTTGTTGCTTTGTAATTTTGAACCCAATCCAGAAGAAAAGGGAACTTCTGGATCAAGTATTGGGAGAAATTTGCCTTTGTGGAGGACTTTTTGATGGAACTAACTCGCATTTGTGTTACATGGAGAGGAAAATTACAAAGACCTCAAACAATTAGCCTGACGGCAAGGGGACTCTAACCCATGTTCCGTCTACCACTGAGGATATTTTACGTCTGCAATGTGGTCAATGCATGGGTGTGGAATTTGTATTGACTAGCCATCACTAGGATTCGAACCAGATTCCCCTCACCAGAAGGCACACGCTCTATCCCCTGAGCCACCACTACTGCAGGCAACAGCAACATCTGTTGAGGAACAAGAAAAGTATTTTTGCCATCAGAGGAAATCTTACCACCAAAAATTAATTTTTAAAAAAATTCTTTAACAAATACGGAGAAATTTGAGATTATACGGGTAAACAGGAGATATTCATAAAACACGGGAGTCTTCGTTAAAAAAACAAGAAACTCGACAGGTATGTGATGAGTCAGATCTAGTCTGAGCCAGTTCAAAGCGGATATGGAGATTTTTTTCCAGTGTTAACTTAATAAAACTGATAATCCTCACTTTAATTGGCTAGACTTAGATGAATCTTTCATTATTGCGCTTTACCTGCAACAAATATACAAAATGCAATAAATCTAATCTAATAAAAATTTAAAGGTAAATCTAACATACTGTATCAACCACATCCATGCAGATTTTGCCATAGTCTCCTGGGGATAAAACAAAGAGGCCGTATTTGTTGCTAAGGTCAGCGTATAGGCTATGGCAGTCAGTACATGTAGTATTAGCAGGTAAGAAGCCAGTCTAAAAATGTAAGCTTTGTTGAATATAAAAAGTATTACACCCGAAAGCAAGCATACATCCTAAAGCAAGTATAATTTTAACTAATTTTATTATTGAGAATTTCTACACTTTTTTTTTTTACAAAAAAAATTCTATTAACTTCAGACAGGAGATAAAAATGAGACTTCTCATACCATTTCAATATTTTCGATTTCCATTTTTTAATAAGCTAAATGATTTATGAATCTCTTTATATTATGTAACAGACAGATATAAAGAATAAATTATTTGATTAGAATACATTAAGTAATAATATAAAATATTTAATTATTTAATAAATTAAAAGAATAAATGACAGATATAAAGAATAAATTATAACTACGTTTTTAAAACATTATTCAATTTATGCCAACAACATTACGCCAAACATTATGCCAAATTATTCAATAAAAAATAAGCACCTTTTAAGCACTTTTCAAGCACTCAAAAAATATTTTTAAGCATAAAAAATATAATAACTAGGCAGGGTTGGAAAGTTTATGACAATTAACGGTTTTATCTTGTTTTAACCGTCATGTCATAAGAAAAGAAAAGAAAACTTTTGGCATTTTATTTGACAAATGTCAAAAATCACGAAATTTTAAAGCATGTAAAACCAATGTTGTTTTCATACGTTACGAACTGATAATACGCCGAAGTATATTGATTGGGTTTGAATTAATTGCGAAAAAGCTGAATAGAACAACATGAACTGTGTCTTTTTGCATAATTCGATATGAAAAGTTCGATATGATGACATGGTAAAGGAAAAATCTCCTTTTGAAAAATGGAAAATTAAGCACTTTTTAAAAACACCCAATAAAAAAAGCACCTTTAAGATCTTTTAAAAAACGAAAATCAAAAATAAGCACCTTCAAGCACTTTTTAAAACACTATGCACCCTGATTTTCGATTTCCATTTTTTAATAAGCTAAATAATTTATGAATCTCTATATATTATATTAACAGACACATATAACGAATAAATTATTAGATTAGAATAAATGAATTAATAATACAAAATATTTAATTATTTAATATATAATAAATTACAAGAATAAATGAAAGATATAAAGAATAAATTATAACTGTGTTCTTAAAATAGATCTGCATAATTGCACACTTACTCTATTTTTATGAACACAATCCATAAAAGCCTTCGATATATTGAAGAAACCTTTGGTAAGGTTTGGGTCAAGATAGCAATCTATAAAATAAAAAACAAAATATTTATGAAACAATTAATTATTAAAGACAAATCAAAATTCTTTAACAATTAGGGCTACATTTTAAAATTAGCATTTCCTGTGAAAAGTTCCGCAATTTCTACTTTGTAAATATTCTGGTTAATTGTGCTGTTCTCAAGATGAAACTCTGGAAAATAGTTGAGTATTTATATGAAAACAATACTAAAGAACATTTTATATAAAAATTTAACCTCTATGTACTTCTTAACATTAAGATGAAAACAAAGTTATCAGAAAATCGTAGTTGGGATTTCTTCTAGAAGAAACCTACATCTACCAGAAAATTAGAAAACATGGAGGAAAAAAAAATGTCAAACACAATTTTTCACACAAGTAATATGAAAATAGTTTGAATTTAAACGACTATTATTTTATGTTCTACAAGAAACTCAAGAGATTTTTACAATTATACATTAGAAAGAAAAAAACTATTTTCATATTATTTATTCTCAAATAGATTTATGCTAACACTATTTTTTTAAATAAAAAAATACACTTATAAGAGATAAATTATGTATACTTGTGTTATTTTTTAGTTAACAATATATTAATAGAAATTACAAAGACAGTCTACCCTCTTTAACATGACCATCCTATTAGTGCAACCCTTCCATTATAACAACTGTTACATGAAGTCTCATTTACTGTTCCATAGACGCTATGTTATATTAATATCCATTAGAATTGGGGCTAACTACCACTATAAATATTAAATACCAATTCACTAGTATATAAGACATGTTAACTTGATTAAATCTCGAGGTACCTTTTGTTAGATGGAAGTTGACATGATCAATAATTATATCACCCTTAATGGTGACCTGGACGTGATGTAAATTAGTCAACATTCACAGATGTTCCCCATTAAACAGATGATTTACTTAAAATATAGCGCTAAAAAAATCCTGTGAAGTAAATAATTCTTCCGCCTATAAACAAAAAAAAAATTTAAGGAAAAAAAATAAGGAGGAAAACGATATAAAAAATATAATGAGCAAAAAAATTATAAATTAAAAAAAACTACATAAATCAACTTGTGGTATTCGTTCAATGAATTCCATCACAGATAAAATTCTGGAAGGGGAGTAACGTGGCATAACTATTACTACAAATATTAAATACCAATTCACTAGTATATAGGACATGCTAACTTTATTTATTCTCGAGGTACCTTTTGATAGATGAAGGATGTCATAGTTAATAATTATATACCCTTAGAACACATTCAAACTTAATCATTAATTTCAATATAAATACTGAATTTTAGTTTAATTTTTTTCCTGGAAAATCAGTCCAAGAACAGGTGTAAGACATTTCTGCATCTGAAAACTTAGATTTTTCCATGGACAATGAGCCAATGGATAAAAAAACTAAAAAAAAAACTATTCAAACCAGCATAATTTTTGACGCGGTATCGCTCGATAAACTTGAAACATCTTGAATTTTCTATGAATGAAGAAGGATAAACAGGATCACCTATTCAAAACCTAGGATGTCCCAAGCGTAATCTATGGTCAAAAAAATTATGAAATATGGATTACTTAGCATTATTTAAAATCTGAAGTGTACATTGAAACATCATTTAGATATTGGAATCTCCTGTATAACCATCACCTTTCAAAATTTCTTTTAAAAAGATTCAACACATTCATCAATCATATTTTTCTGGCTTGAAAATTGTATTCATTCTCATTGGGAAGTATTGTAAGAAGTGGTTTATTTTGGATTTAAAACACAAGGTATAATTTAAATTTCTTATTTATTTTAGCTTTGCTCGTTCTCTGGATGTTTGTTATTTAGCAAAAATGGCTACTCTAATCAATTTAATGCTGTATGCTTAGAGTGCAAATTAAAAATGCTAAAGGGAGTGGATAAAAGAATAACACATATTACTTAATTATTCAAGATCCTAAAAAGAAATTTGTTAACAATAATTCAAAATCAAAACGATGCAATTCTGAAAGCAGAAGAACAAAATGTTCTAATTTCTTGACATCATTCTCTTGAATTAAAATTTCAAGCTCTAGAAAAAGCACGAAGTAAATGTTTAAAATTTATTCGCAATATTATAAGATGTCATTTGGAAAAATTCAACTGTATTTTTAATCTTTAATGTACTATATTGACCCCAAAATTAACCCAGTATTTATGAAACACGTGTATCAAAATATTTGCACTCTTTTTATGTAGACACAATATAGTGAACTCACATTACAAAGTCCACATTACATTTTGTTTGGACCATAGGGATGGTTGGTTGGTTGNACCCCAGAATATAATAGCAAATGGTTCTTAATATTTGAAACTTTTATGATATATTCCACAACTTTTCCAAGCCTTAAAAGTATGTCTCAACTTCAAAAAATTTGAAATTAGATCCAATCATATTTTTAATGTTTGCACATTAAAAATAAAATTGGTATAAATTCCTTGAAGTCTGAATTTATAATTCAAATTTCTTGGGAGTAAATAATAGAAATAAACAATCTAACTTACTTTGGCAATAATTATTTGACCATAACTGATTCACATTGCTATATAAAACATCCACAATAGCAATCTGGTCACTACTGAAGAAAATTTCCTCACATTCTTCCCCTTGCTGCAAGATATAAAAACATTTACTTTATGTTGCAATTAGTAAAAAATAAATGTGATAGTTTACCATTATTTAAAATAACAATATTAGAAAAAAATTATTTAAATTTTTTTAAATAGAAAGAAGTTTGTAAAGGCACACATTTAAATTCAACTAGTATCTATGGTTATCAATCATATGGCAAATTCAAACCTTCATTTTACTGGTGGTAATTTAAGAACTATTGACAACAGAATGACACCTGAAATAAAATAAAAAAAACGAATCTATCTGGCATCGATTTGCCAATCTATGGGCTGAAAAGATTTATTAAATTTAGGTTTCTTTCCAGAAAAACAAAGTTCTTAATCTGCAAAACTTTTGTCAGGCCAGTCTTCTGAAGCTTGGACAATGACAAAGCTGGAGGGAAATTGTATCTCAGTATTTGAAAGAAAGATTTTGCGGAGTATACTTGGCGGTGTAAATGAAAACAATAACTGGTGAAGGAGATTTAACTTTGAACTGTACAAGATTTAAAAACAACCCGATATTACTAAATACACAAAAATAAATAGAATGAATTGGGTGGCCCATGTGATTCGAATAAGTGATGATAATACAAGAATAAAGATGCTTTTTAAACAAACTGGAACAAGAAAGTGGGGAAGGTCACGGTTGAGAAGGACTGACTCGGTGGAGTCTGATTTTCTTGCAATTAATGAAAAGAATTGGAGATCAAAGATTAATCGGAAGTCATTATGGAGCAATCTTCAGAGGAAGGCATTGGCCTGTCTGGCCAACTATGATGATGAGTGTTTTTTTTAAAGATTTAAAGTTATAAATCGTTAGAAAATTTGAAAAAAAATGTGTTTATCTGTAGAATTTGAGAATTTTAGATTTTTCTACCTCAAAGACAAATGTAGTAGACTGTTATAAATCATTTTAAGTGTTAAAAATAAAATAAAAAGGAACAAATTAAATCCAGCTGCTATAAAGAAACAATCAATGATCTTCAATGAAGTTTAGTTTAGACAAACTGATCGTTAATGGACATGGATATAGAGAACAAACTAGTGACTAGATCAGTGATGTTAAAGTTCACTGTGACGTCGGCTTGGTCGAGTGATTGATGTTTTTGCNCTTCAATGAAGTTTAGTTTAGACAAACTGATCGTTAATGGACATGGATATAGAGAACAAACTAGTGACTAGATCAGTGATGTTAAAGTTCACTGTGACGTCGGCTTGGTCGATTGATTGATGTTTTTGCCTTTATATCTATGGAAGTATCACAACTATTTGGCAACCCAGCCACATACATTGGCTTATTTTTTGAGCTTTATATCAACTGAGACACTGCCCCTGTGTCAGAATTTTTTTGAGCTTTCTGCGACAGAACTATCTAGTTCTAATCAAATTGGCTTGGTCGATTGATTGATGTTTTTGCCTTTATATCTATGGAAGTATCACAACTATTTGGCAACCCAGCCACATACATTGGCTTATTTTTTTATCTTTATATCAACTGAGACACTGCCCCTGTGGCAGAATTTTTTTGAGCTTTCTGCGACAGAACTATCTAGTTCTAATATCTTTCCGCAAGATAATTTCAATAATAACAAACACTAAATTAAGGTAACAAAGACGCTGTATTTACAAAAAGGAAAAATATAATTATTTTCATTGAATTTGTAATACTTTTTTATTCTAAAATATTATGGGTGATATTCTCACATTTTAATGAGGAGAAAAATGCACAAATTATTTCCTTTATCACATTTTGTAAATCCTCATCACATTGAAAAAAATAATTAAATATCATGAAATCCGTAGAAGTAATCAACGAAAAACAGATCGCGCGAATCAGACTGTTCAAAAAGGGGTTTTCTCAAATACATGTCAGGGGTCTGTCTAGGCCGAATTTACTACCGTTTAGCGGTACCTTCACAAATTAAATTTTAAGTAAAACGGCAGTTTCACAAATTCTACTTTAGGCAAAACGGTAGTTTCACAAAATACTTTTTCTAAAAATTTTATTTTTTTATCCTTTAAGAACGATAAATCTATATTTTTACCATGTTTCTGTATTGATTTTTTAATATAATTTTTATTTTTTCACAAATTATGTCTAAATTTTCACAAAATAGGTACCTTTCAGAAAAACCTAGACAGACCCCTGCATGTTTCGTTTCAAGATTTGATTGTTGTAATAAAAAATATCAAATTTTAAAAACTATATAGAAATTAAAAGCAATAATTACCAAAACAAACACTATAGAATCATTGCCCTAAAAAGTAAATACTCGAATGCACGATTTGAATTTCCTATATCGTCTGAAATATATCCGGATAATTAAAAACCACGCGAAAATCAAACTACAGAAAAATACAATCGAAACACTACATAGATTTACAATACTATTACCGTAAATTGAACATGACAAAAAGTGATTACTTATATGGGCAATTCAAATTCAAATTTCATGTGTAAAATTTCTACAGGAAAGAAAACCAAAAAAAATTTTTTCCCAAAAGAAAAATCTTTCTGCAAGAACACTGTAACGTTCTGCGACAATGTCAGATTTACAATAGACTTAGAGGTTGGGCAGCTCTGACGAGCAGGGCACATCGACCAGAGGTCTATTGTACCCAAACCCTAAAATCATGATTAGCATGAAAGCCCTATAGCTGAAATAAAATTCAGCAAGCACCTTACAGGAACATCTTGCAGTTCCCAGGCATTGACAATATGCTGTCCTAAATGCTCAAATCTTTGAGCAGAATAGACCTCACAATCACAGATTATGTGTCGTGATGTCTCTTCTTCTAGATGACATCCCCGACAAAGAGAATTACAATACTATTACCGTAAATTGAACATGACAAAAAGTGATAACTTATATGGGCAATTCAAATTCAAATTTCATGTGTAAAATTTCTACAGGAAAGAAAACCAAAAAAAAAATTTTCCCAAAAGAAAAATCTTTCTGCAAGAACACTGTAACGTTCTGCGACAATTTTGCCGTGATTCTGCCACAGGTGACACTCCAATAAAAATAACATGAAAAAACTTCAAGTATTTATTAACAGTTTAAGAAGAATCTCGCAAATAAAGTTATCCAATAAATCTGTAACGCAGAAATCCTTAGGAAAGCAAAACAGAAATGGCTTGATCCAGAAAGTAAAAAAACATAAATGAATAAGTCATGTTCTAACGTAAACCTGCAATTTTTTTTAAGTAAAACAAATTATTGATTGGAACCCTCTGGGCAATAGAAAAAGAAGCACAAAATTCTTGGCACCGGGTGGTTGAAAGTGAATCGAAAACAATAGGAAAGACATTAAGAGAGGCAAAATATCTGGCCACAAACAGAATGAGATGGAAAGCTATGATAGAAGTCCTATACTCCTATTAGGAGTGAAGAGAAATATGTACATATAAGAATGCATATCAATTTAAGAAGTTCTTTCAGCTGTTTGGTGCAATAAAATCACTGAGTAATTTTATTAGAAAACTCAAGAAATGAATAAATTTTCTTAAATAATTATAGTCTTTAAGTTTTAAGATACATAATTGAAATATAAGAAATGTTTGTAGAGAATGAAAATAAAAACTGTTGTTGTAGTTAATTTACGTCGCACTAGAGGTGCACAATGTGCTATTGGCGACGGTCTGGAAAACATCCCTGAGGACGATCCGAAGACAAGCCATCACAATTTTGATCCTCTGCAGATGGGGTGGCACACCCGCTTCGGTAGCCCAACGACCTGCACGCGAAATCTAGCACTTTACGGTAGAACAGTTTTACGAGGACCCATACCGCACACCCTCGGTCCCTACGCAGACTGATCCAAGTGGCCTCCCACCCGCACACTGACTGGACTTCGGTGATCTTCTGGGAACCGTGTCTTAACAATCAGTCCACTGCGGGACAAAATAAAAACTGACCAGAATAATTTAAGAAAAAGTAAAAAAATATATAATATCATTAGGTAAGCTTTTATATAAGATATGACAGATAACATCAAAATTTTAATGCTAATAAATTAAAACTTCAATTGAAATATAAGGTATGTTTATCAAGTTAGGAGATAAAATTAACAATATATCCAATCAGAATAAATTAAGAAGAAAATAAAGAAAGAAATAGTCTTATCATTGAGTAAGCTTTCATAAAAAGTATGATAGATAACATAAAAAATTTCAATATTAACAAATTAAAACACATAGATGACAAAATTGTGCTGACCTTATACTGCACTTATTTATTTATACATTTTTTGACATCTCACCTTTCTTAAATTATTATATTTGGCAACTGAAACATTGTATGCATTTCCACATTGATAACAAACGCGAACAGGTCTTGCATGTTCCAGAGCACAACGGGTGAAATTTACTACAGCCTCAGAAAAATTACCGAATGCCCATGAACAGTTTGGTGAGGGAGCAGGAAAAATATGCTCATGTTCCTCTTCATTGTAAAAACTTTTCAGAGACATATTTAAGACTTTTTCATGTGATTTAATCAAAGGAGTCGGTTTCGAACTAAGTGAATCGATTAGTGAATGATCGATTGCACTAATTACATTACAAAAACTAATAATCATTAAGAATATCGCAAAATATCTCGAGCACATCATTTGCATTTTATGAAATATTATATTTTTAAAGAACTAAAATATTATTCAGAACAGTCAAGCATAGCTTGTATCTTGTAGCTTAGTAACGTAGATTGATTCTCATTTAAATTGAGCTAACTTGAGAGATATTTATTATTATTATACAAAAGAAAATTTTTTTGAGTTTTCTCTTGTTTACATAATGTTTACATTGTGCTTTCGGATGACAAGCTGCAATTACGTCATTTTGAGCCCATATGATCTTTTGAAGTCATAATCGAAAAATTTATTTTAATCGTTATCGTTAAAAGTTTTTAGCATTAAGCAAAAAATATCAATATAAAATATTGAATGAAATTTAATTTTCTTCATTTATAAAATTTTATGTTATTTTATCTCAATATTATGTCTCTTTTAATTATAGTTTTCAACTCAATAAAACAATATTTATATAAAAATTTTACAAGCTTATTTGTAACCGAGTTCTAAATTTACTTCAAAATTTCGAAAATATTTTGATGCGGGTTTGGTTTTCTGCAAAATTTTTATTTGTGAAGTATTTTTTATTTAATTCATATATTAATTTGTTATTGTATTCAAAATAGTTTTTTGATAAAAAGTTTCTTTTTCATTTTGACTTAGACCATGGACATTTTGTTTGATAAATTTCTTTACTAATAATTTTAAAATACTAAATGTTTCCAAAGTATTAAATTGATTATTAATGTCATATATACTATTGATTTTTCTTTCAGTAATTAATTGTTCCTAGAACAAGTTTGGTTTTTATTTCGTTTAATTTTTGGAGTAACATTTTTTTTAAATTTTTTGAGGAGGCTGTAATCATGAATCTTAATATTTTAAAACTGACTTTAACAAAAATGAGTAATTTATTACTGGTATTTAATAAAATAAATCTGTTTAAAACCCAATTCCAGCTATATTTCTAATTTTTGTGACAGTTAAAATAAATCCCTATTGAACCCACAGATAAAAGTTACCTTTTGTGACATTTAAAGATCAACAAAGTGTGATTTAATTTCTACTTAGGATATATAAAGATTAAAATATCAACAAGTCAATTTTAGTGTATATTTGTTGCTTGTCTGTGTCATAATTCCTGCCAAATTGAGAAATATTCATAATTTTGTAGATAAAGTTATTACTACTTTTCGTTTGGTTCTGGTGTGTTTTTGTTTCTTTTTAAATGCTGCAAACATTTTGTTTTTTGTCATCAGAAACAAAGTACATTGTTTTTTCAGTGTTTATTTTTGAATGTGAATAACTTTATTAGTCGTTGGTTTAATTATTTGCCCAAATTCTGACATTTCAGAATTTAAAATTTATTTCCCCATTTTAAGTATCTATGTCTATGCCAGTTTGTACTGAGATTAACATAAAGGGATGTAGACATCCAAATCTATTTTAATAAGTATTTAATATCACTTGTTAAAATTTATGTATACTTACTTTTTAAATTTTATTTATTAATTTATTTCTTTTCATAGTTCAGATTTAAATTATTTTCTATTAGCGCAAGTATTTTGTCTTTTCTGTTAGCTAAGTACGAGAATGTTTGAATTTTGTGGAGTTTTATTTTTGTGGGAACTTTTGTGCCCAGTTCTCATACTTGCAATAAATTTTAAGAAATATATGTCGGAAATTTTACACTGAGATTCGGTACTTTTCTCTGTTATGTTTTTCATAGTTTCTAGTTCTACAGCCTGGCACTAGAACTTGGTGACCATTTTGGTGCATAATCCTACATAGATTTTTGTTGCCATCTAGTTAGAAAAGTATCTAAGTGTATTTTAGCTGAATAATTATCTATTAACACTAAAATTTCATATTTTACTGAAGAACAGTTTATTTGAAAAATGTGTGGATTATTCTGGTTACATTTGTAAGGGATCTGTTGAAATAAAATTATGTAGGAGAAATAATGAAAGATTCAAAAATGATGTGAGAGATTCTATTGTAGAGTATTTCACAATAAATTAATAATAGGCCTGGTGGCACAATTTTTGTAGGCTACTGCGACATATCTCTCTAATACTAATATCTTTCTGCACGATAATTTTCAAATAACAAATATACAAGTTACTAATTTAAAGTAGCAGAAGCATCAACTTCAAAAAGAAAAAAAACTTTTGGAATCAAATAAAATAATTTTTTTAATTGAGTATGTAATATTTTTTTTAATTCTATAATATTATGGGCAATGTTCTTGTATTTCGTAGGGTGAAAACACACTAATTATTTCCTTTTCGCCTTTCGTAAATCATCATCAAATTAATAAAAGAAAAAACGTGAAGTCCGTTGCAGTAACTACCGAGAAGAAGAAAAAAGATAGACATCAGAGTCTTCAAAACGGAGTAACTAAATGCGTGTTTTTATTTTGGGATTCAGTTGTAATCACTAATATCGTATTAAAAGTATCAGATTTTAAAGCTATGAAAAATCAATAGAAATACCTGCATAAAAAAATAGAAAGAAAATTTCTACAGAAAATAAAACCAAGAATCTTTCTGCAAGAACTCTTTAATGTTCTACGACGCCGTGCCGGTGGCAGAAAGTAAAATTTGTTTTCTGAATTAATTCTGGCTATAATAGTTGAATTGATCTCTTTTCTTTCACCACAGAGTGGAAAGTGTTCTCTGTCTCATTCATTGAATGTTCAGTAAAAAATTTTTAATTGATGTTTAGCTAATTAAGGAAGGCATTGGCCCACATTGGGCTGTCTGGCCAACTATGATGATAATGAGGTTTAGCTAATTGAGAAAGGTTTTTGCAATTTTTCTTTTCTATAACTTTGATTATTCTCCAACCAGGTTATAATCAAAGCAAAAGTATTAACTATCATTAAATTTTCCTATATCTTTTCTTCAAAAAAATATGCTTTTTATGTCATCAATGTTGTTTATCAATCATGATAAAACAAGATTTAATAAAGACATTTTAAGCCTTTATTTGAATATTATTTTTCAAAGAAATAGTGCATAATAATTTTAATAATTATGTGAAGTTTTTAAAAAGAAGCATTTTAGTTTATAGTTAATTTATCATTGTATTTTTATTTCTTATAAAGCTGTTATTCTCATAGAATATTGAAATAGATTTTTTACTTTTAGTTTCCATTTTGGGAAAGTTATGTAAATGCTCCAGAGGAAACTACATTTATTTTTTCAGTTCTCAATATTGAATATCTTCGTCCCTCCATTCATGGCTTGGCGTTCCCATGGAAAAAATAATGCAGATCTTGTGCTAAATTTAAAAAGTAGGAATTTCTGATGTTTTCCTTTTAAATTTGTGTTTGTTTGATTGTTTTGAGTATAATGCATTGAGTCATTTTTTAAGTTAAAATCTCTATGATGCATTTAGCATGTTTTTATTGTACATTTTAGTAATTATTAGTACTTAGATTTTTATTTTTATTATTAAATTATTGAAAACTAATTACCGATTGCTATTTTATAGTTTTAGCATGTAAAAATTTTTTGAAATGAATTATCTGTTTTTCCAGATTGTGCATATTTTTGAATTTTATTTAAATATTTTTATGAAGAAAAAAAGTTTATTATTCATTATCTTATCCCAATGCTCAAATAAGATGAATACTAAATCCATGTCTAGCTCCTTCCCTTTTCCATAATACTCTTCGCATTTAAATTGTCAAAAATATTTTTTAAAATTCTTGCGTAGCTTGTTTTAAGAATTATGTTTAATGTAGTTTTGAGTTTTATATAATTTCCAAACTTAAAATGTTTTTTTAATCAGTTCAAGGCAGAAACTAGCATACTTCCTACTTCTATTACTATCCACATGCTAATGGTGAAGGCATGCAAAGGTTAGCCATAGGTAAAGAGTTCTGCAATGCACCTCCCGTAGTCTATTTCAATCGCCAATAGCTGAAATAATAAAGCTGATTTAAGCATGCCAAATACCTATACCTTAATTAAGAATTTTTCAAGTTTTTATGAATTTTATTATTAATTTTCTGTCGAAATTAAAAATGCTTGTTGAAATATTTAATTGTGTAAAAAAAAAATAAACCAATGTGCAAATTTTCTTAAGTAATAAAATAATTCATTAGGTAGTGTAATCAATAAATTTCAAATAGAAAAAAATGAAATACAGATGCTTTACTTTACTTAAATAATAAGAAGAGAAATAAAAAATCATGTATAGAGCAATTTATATACAGTACAGAACCCATTATCCAGAAATCGGAAAACCAAAAAACCGGAACGAAATTCGATTCCTTTTTTTCGCCATTTTTTAAAAAAAAAAATTTCCTCATAAGATTTTACGATTTTTCTTTCTTTTTTTAAAGATGTTTACCTTACCATCATTTTGGAAATAATCATTAGTGTATTACTTCATTGTTTTTTCTTATTTTTAAGATTTTTTCCAAATATTTTTTTTTTCTTTTTTTAGTTGGTTTAACAATAAAAAAAGCGGCTTTTGTAGTGATTCAGAAAACCGGAAAAATCAGTTATCCGGAATAGCGATGATCCCGACCGTTCCGGATAATCGGTTCCCTACTGTACTACAATTCTAAAGGAAGGTTCTGCAATGCAGCAGAAATTTCATAAGAAAATTGAAACCAATAGAAAATTTTAAGGAAGAAAATAATGAAAAATATAAAAATTACTACCAAAGCTGACGTCGTCAGAGGGTGCCAACTCCGGAAGTCATAAAAACACAAAATCTTTTCTATCATGAGAAAGCGACAAATGTCTAAAAATTGCTCTCTCTGTACCTCAAATGTTTTGTAAATAGTCCAGGAAGAGAGGAAAGAAATACAAAATTAAAATATGTAGTCTAATTACAAAAGGAAAACATTGTTCAAAAAACCTATTAAAAAATATTCTTATTTCAAACCAAAGCACATAACTTTCTGAAAATCTTTAACCAAACCAAAATTCAAAAACAAACTAAGCCCTCATTTAATGCCACAGAAAGAAGAGAGAGAAAAAATGAAAAGCATTGTCATTTTTATATCTTCTTTAAAATTTACTTTGCTTAAATCGACTTATAAAAAATAGTAACAATAGTTTGCACTTATATAAATTAAATTATTACTGGCAATATGATTTTAAAATATTTAAATATTTTATTAATAATTAAACATAAGCATAATTTATGTTGTTTAGAAAATGGCATTATAAAAGATCCCAAAGTTGAAAGAACAATGCTGGCTGTGGATAGAGTCAACTATTGCAAGAATAACCCTTACATGGACTCTCCTCAGGGAATAGGATATGCAGTCACTATAAGTGCACCTCATATGGTAACTTTTATTTATTGTTTTTATTGATGCTCCATGTCCTTCATAAATATATTCAGGGGTGATCGTATTTTGGGTCTAACCCCAGGAGTCTGTCCAGGAGAACTTTAATACCATTTAGTGGTACCTTCACAAATTCAACTTTTGGAAAAACGGTAGTTTCATAAAATACTTTTAAAAAAGCAAGTTCTAAGGTTCTTCTCTACGCCTCTTAAAATTTTGTTTTTGTATCCCTTTTAAAAACAATATACAATTAAGTAAATTAGGGACCAATTTACTTATTTGTAGCAGACTCAGAAGTTTAAGCAACTATTTATTTCAAAACTATTAGACAGCTTGCATTGATAAGATTAAAACTCTTTAAAAAATTTACTTTTTTGTAAGCTTTTATAAAAAATTAATTTTATTATCTTTATTGTATCATGGTTTTAAATGAAAACACAGTGTTCTCCATATGCATTTTTTTTAAGGGCGGCCCACCCTGCCTGCCCTTTGATCCCAATAAATGCACCTTTTTTTTACCCTTTTTGTAAAAATTAACCGCCATTCCTTAAACACATTGTATTTTTATTCATATTCCATTTTGAAAGAAATTAATTTACTGTTTAAATAATTAAACACTGGTAAAATTTATCTGTGTTTATAGATTTAATTCTGATTAGTATTACAAATATTTACTTTGTTAGGATAATTCTGAACTGGTTAAAGTTTGATAATGATATTTTTTGCAGGGATATTAATATCCCTTTTGTGATTTTAAAGCTCTTTATTAAACAAATACATTTTTTTAAATACACTTTTAAATGTTTATTTTCTTCAATTTTCAGTTTAAGTTATAGAAAATGACTTTCAAGCTATTTATTGATTAATCATTTTTTTAGTTTTCTTTTTTTGAAGGAAAAAAAAATGAGAACAGAGATTGCCTTTTAGCATGTTTTAATCATTTTTATAAACTACAAATTTTTCTCTTATTTTGATAATGAGAGAGAATTACTTTTTGAAATGTATGCACACAAAATAGTTTAAGATAGTAGTTTAAAAACTTTTGAGGATATATTTCAGTTATTACATAATATTGTACATTTTGGATACATTTTTACAGTGGTAAGTGAGTGCCCTTTCAAAAATCTAAGTGCTATTTCCAGGGAGGCAGTGCCTTGCCCTTTTTAATTCCTAGGGAGATCTCTGGAAAACATATTTAGTTTACATAAAGTATTTTTCTAACCTTAATATTTATTTTTAAAGTATGAATTTCTTTTGTTCATAATGGATAGTTAAAAATACATAGTATGAATGTTTAATTTTAAGTGATAATTAAGGGAATTAAAATATTACATTAAAGTTTTGAATTTAAATTATTTAGCTCTATTTTGTAATAGTTCTAATTAATAAGGTTAAATTGAATTTTATTTAGCAAATTGATTCTACAGGTTTTATCATAATACAATTATACTCTAGTATATTACTACTAGAGTATATACTATATCTAGTATATACTCTAGTAATTATATTTTAGTATTACAAAATTATTACTTTTCCCTTTTACAGGAATTATAGATTTTTTATCTTTCATAACAATCATTACAGTTATTCACACTCAGTGTTATACAGTTTAAATTAACCTATTTAAGTTTATGGTTAATATGGCAAATCTACATTCTATTTTGACAATTAAAGAGAAAATATTTCAGTTTCATTTAGAATAATAATTTAATATTTCAGCATGCTCATGCTTTGGAGTTGTTGAAAGATAATTTGTATGAAGGAGCAAAAGCATTGGATGTGGGTTCTGGCAGTGGCTATCTTACAACTTGTATGGCATTGATGGTAATATTTTTATTTTGTTAATTTTTGCAATACTGTTTTAGTATTGATTTAAGTAGTTCTCAATATGTGATCTTCATTCTCTGTCATTTTGATGCAAAGTTGTTTGATGAACTCTGAGTTGGTATTTTCTATTGCTTTAAAAGTAGCCAGCTTTTTCCTTGCTTCTTGTGACCATACATCAGTATTATATAATAATATTAATTATATGATAATATTTTTATTTATGAATTGGCAAATTAATTTACTTTGTTACTGTTAAGCAATCCAAAGTTAAGTATTTCATCTATTTACACTTTTTAATTCGGGATAAAATGATTACATTAACTCACGTTTGAGTCTTGTTGTTGGGTTTGAGGTTAGGTGATTAAAGTAATCTACAATTATTTTCTTGTAAGAAATTTTTAAAACAATACACGTAATTATGATTTAAAAAAATTTAATTCTTTCATGTATAGCTTTTATCATGCTGTAAATTTTAATTCTTTTTTCAAATGCCTATTTAATATTTATGCATGAATTCTACATATATATGATTTTCTGTTGCTTTGAAATTGGATCTTTATATTTCATTATAAAGTAACAGGAGTTTTTACTGCAAGTTAAAACATTTCAGTATTATATTTGTTTTATTTAGGATAATTTTAGCTGTTTTTTAGGATGGGATTAGCAGTGTTTTAGGATATGGTTATTTTTGAAAATAATTTTTGTTATTTATTTTAGTTAAATTGTCATACATTTAAAAAATATATTAATAATGTATATGTTTGCATATTTTTATTTTTTTTCTATGTCTCATGTGTTTCTGTGTATAAATTTTTATTCCTTTTTTCTGTCAGTCTACACTGAAAAGGCTGTACTTCAAAGCTGTAAATTTTTAAGCTTCGCAAATAATATATAGTATTTTAAATATATATTCGCCATTTTAATTATAGAAACAAACATCTTTTAGCTTTATTCATTTTTTAGAGATCCTGATAGATTATAAACTTATTATTCTTAAATAATTATCTTATTATGTATCAGTTTATCTTAGAAATAAAAAAAAGTTTTTGTAGAATATTTTTGAATTTAAAAATATTTAAATTTTTTTATACTTCTTCTTTAATGTTATTAAATTAAAAAGTTTTCTGTGAATTTTTTTCCCTCCTGTATGTAATTTTTGATCAATGCCTACAATTATGTTTGTTTTAAACATGATTTTTTTTAAATAAAATTTTATATTTTTGATCCTACATTTTGAAATTTTAATCTCATAAATTTTGCACTTTTTTTCTTTCAAAGTTACAAAAACAGTTATAAAATTTCTTGTACTATTTATATAGCTTTTTCCAATTTTTGGTTGCAAGGCAGATAGTCACTCATTGATCATTCAAGGGCTGCTATCAGTTTTCAGGCCACAAGTTCTGCCCCTGTTGTAAATTATATAAGTAAAAGAATAAAAAAAAAATGGTATTGAATTACCAGTTTAAATTCTGAAGAAAAAATTTTTTATAAATAATTTAATATTATTGTTTTCTATTTTTGTAATTACTGCATATAATTTAAAATGCAAAACCATTTCTTACTTATCTATGTTGACTTTTTCAGACATTAATTTCTTTTCATACCTCCTTTTAAGTTTGTGGTATCAAGATTTGACTGTCTTTTCTAACTTTTTATTATTTGTTACTTTCATTTGAGCTATTTGTTTGAGTTTAGGTTTATACTTTTTGTTTCTATTTTCAAATTTTCTTAAATGTTTAATTATATATTTTGCGGTCAAGTGTGCACGATTATAAATGATACTCAGTTTCAAACGTCTGTGCTACATCTGTAATGTGTGTGTTATATCTGGCAAAATGATAATTTTTTTTTGTGCACAAATTCCATTAAAAGAAAACATCATTTGCCTAATTTTTTTAAAAAAAATTATTTCTTTCTAACTATGTTTTTTATTTTTTATCCATTAAACAAATTTTGAAAAATATCCCGTTAACTTAGTTACATGTATCTTTTCTGATTAAAAAATTTATATATTTTTTTTTAAAAAAAAAAGAAAAAAAACAAATAGACTTATTTTTTTAAATTCTTAAAATTTATTCCTAAATTTGTATCTATTTTTTTTTTTTAATTTATTATTTTTTTTAAAATTCTAGGTTGGAGAGAAAGGTAAAGCTGTTGGAATTGATCATATTGAGAATTTAGTTAACATGTCCATTGAAAATGTTAAAAAAGATCAGCCAGGACTTATTGAAAGTGGGAGAATAAAACTAGTCGGTGAATACTTTTTTTCTTTCTTTTATAACTGCTTTCCTTGTAACTAAGAATTTCTCATATAATGTCAGTTTTTTAAAATTCTGAATATAGTTTTAATAATGAAATTTATCAATGCATATGAGTATGTTGTTCTAAGGAAATCTGACTCCTGCCTATTGGTGCAAAATTTTTATACATAAAAATTTAGTTGAATTTATGAATTATTAAAATTAATTTAAGTAAAACAATAGAAAATATTTTATGTTGTGTAATGTTTTTCTTAACTCTGTATGTCAGCTAAAAATAGAGTTGCTAATTTTTTTTTAACAATATACCCAGTTTTGTTCTTAAATTTTTATGAACCATTAAGTATGTATTTATTATTGAATAAAATACATTTTTATAAATTAACACTTTTTTTAAACTATATAACTGGTTCTTAATTTTGTTCTAATTTTTAACTATGTCTTCATAATTTTTGTGAACCATTATTATGTTTTTGTTATACAATAAAAGCATTTTTAAATTTTTATTTTATTGATAGAGCAACTATTTTAACTCGAAATAAACTTTTAAAACATGTTAATTAAAAGGTAAGTTTTTTTTTTTTATGAAATTGATGTCAGAAAAATGTTTAACATATACTAGAATACAAGGAAATTCTCTGAGTGCTAGAAATTTCAGAGACATCTGCTTATAAAAACCTTTTATGCTTATGCTTTTAATTTAAATTTTTCTCATGATTATGAGCATTGAATTTTTAAGTTAGTAAGTACGCAATGTAAGAAAATGAAATTAAGGTTATTGCAGCCAAAGATCCTGGCCTTATCCTTTGCTATGGGTTGTTCATTTGGGAATTTACGGCTAATTTTCCTATCCTTTTTACTGCTAACACGGGTTCCACATCCAGAAGGTCCCCTTCTGATTTCCTCCTTTTATTTTATTTGTTCCTTCCTTTGTTGTCACCCTTATTATATTATATGATATTTTTTTATAATATTTTTTTAGTTTTCTGTGATATCCTTACTTTTATAACAAAATTATGCATATACTCAATATTTATCGAATTGTATGGTTATTATAACACCTCTTTTAACCATGTCATGTTATGAATATCCAATGTAAAAACGTGTCTCTGAAATTGTGTCATAAACCTCAAATATAATTTTTTTTGTAACAATATAAACATTATTATAATGCATTAAATGTCCATTCAGATATTAAATTGATACTTGTTTTGCCACAGTTTTTAATTTTTTTTAAGCCTTGTACAGATGCATTATACCTTTTTACATATCTATTGATGATTTTAAATTCCAATCTGGGTTTATATTCATCATCGTGATTGGCATAACTGCTTAGGGTCGGCCAAGGCCTTCTGTTGAAGATTCTTTCTGGACAACCAATGAATTCACCTAGATTGCCAGTTTTTTTTTACCTAATCACATTAAAATGGTAGTAGTGGTTGTTTTGGCCTTCTTTTCCAACTCTTTACTGAGCCGTCAGGCTCAATCTGTTAATTTTAATGCATTTTATGATATTTGGCTCTTTCAAAATTCTTAAAACTTCCAAGTCAAAACGTTTTCAGTAAAAGCCTTTTTCTTTGGCTTCACCAAGAATACATCCTAGAACCTTTTTCTTAAAAACTGATATTTTTTATTCTCTATTTTTTATTAAATGCCAGATCTCTGTATCATACATTAGGACTGGTTTAATGAAAGTTTCATAAATGGATGGTTTATATTAATTCAATAAAACAGTTGTCTTTACTTTATATTTAATGCAATGTGTGTTGAAATATATTATTGCATTGCACATAATTTTCTGTTTTTTTTTCCTTATAAACCTCTTTGACATTACGTTTTGTTAATTACCTTAGACATTAATTTTTATCAATGTAACTCAAATTTTGGTTGTTTAAATGTTCTATTAAATCTTGTCATATCAAAATTCATCATTTCATACAAAAAGACTATTCTATTATTATTCATTAGTTTTCATACATTTTATAACTTGGGGTGCTATGTCATGTACAGTATGATAAAAAAAACGGTCCCCTTAATCATTTTTGATCTAATGATCAGAATTTCCCGTCCTTAAACTGATTCTTAGTGGTTTAAAGGGGTGACCTCAAATAACCTAACTAATTAATACAGACGATAATTTAAGTTACGAAATCAGTCACAAAACCTCCTATATTTTTTGGGTTAGAAATCTGAATCTGTTGAAAAGAGTGTTTATTCAGAGAAAATACGTTTTTGTGTCCGATTTCTTTACTTAAAATATCGTCTGCACTAATTAATTAGCATCTTTGAGAATATCTCCTTTAACCATCACGATTGAGTTCTAGAAGGTGAAGATCCAATCATTAAATCAAAAGCTATTCAGGGTGATCTGTTTTTCTTTTGGCCCAACTATTTATAATTTATCTTTACAACTATTAATAATTTCCATTGCAGTTGGTGATGGGAGGCAAGGGTATGAAGCAGAGGCTCCTTATGATGCTATTCATGTAGGGGCTGCTGCTCCTGAATTGCCACCAGAGGTATTTGACTCATTTATATAATTTTTCTTAATTATTGTTTTTCTTTTTTAATGTTTGAAATTTTTTTGCATTGTAATAAAATATTGATAAAATTTTTATATGATAATTTGAATAACATTAACTTTGTAATACAATAGAACCCCGGTTTAACGAACCCCTATTTACCGAATCTCGCAATTTAACCAGTTATAGTAAATAATGGAGTAGATTTGTAGGAATCATTGAATAGCGACTCTGGCAGAAGTCGATGATGGTAATCAATCTACAGTAAAAACTGTTACTTTTTCTGATGCTTTGCACGGTTTGGAAACAGTAAAAACTTACATAATGCAGCAAGATGTAAATGAAGGAATATTTTCTTTTCTTCATGACGTCGAAAAAAAACTCTTTGAAGTAATAAGCAAACCTTACTCACGAAAAGCTTTAAAATTTCAAATAAATCAGCATGTAATTATTCACTGTATTTTAAATTCCTAAGTAAAAAGTGAAAGATTTCTATTTACTTTGTGCATTTGTTTATTAGATTTGTTTGAAATTTTCCATAAGGTTAGTCCATTTTTATTTTGCCCCGATATTACGAATTATCCTCGATTTAGTGAATAATATTTTCTGTCCCTATGAATCTGCAGTCAAGTCCTTTTACAATAAAAACTTTAATCTAAGCAATAAACTTTCAGCAGGAGTTAAATCCTTTAAAAATGGAAGAAATTGGTTGCGATATAGAATTGACATTACTGACATCTTGTTTTCATTAATTCCTCAATTAGTTGCCAATAGCGATGGAATTCTTGTCATTAAGAACCAGAAAATATTGACAATCGGAGAGGGTTCGTTTTTATCCATTTCATCCTTATGGATTAAATATCTCTATTTGAGAGAATGAATTATAAAGTTTGAAATAATGCTGATTTATCAAATCCTTTCTGTACCTCCCAAATTAAAGTTTTTAACTTCTTTTCTGTGTACTAAAGGTACATTTATTGATTCTTTTATAGTTGGTAAATCAGCTGAAAGTGGGTGGTAAACTGATTGTACCTGTTGGAAGAGAAGGGCACAACCAGATGCTAGAGCAGATAGAAAAACTACCTGATAACACCATAAGGAGGACATCCCTAATGGGTGTTGTGTATGTGCCCCTAACTGACAAAGAAGCACAATGGCCTGGAAGGTTGTGTTCCATTTTTTAATAAACTCCATTTCACTTATGTATAAATTACTTTACTTTAAGCAACATATCTTTGACTCTTGATCTAAGTATCAACCAAGACATTATAAGGTGAATTTACTATATGGTGAGTTTACAAAATTAAACCTTAAATATTTACTCTTAGCTTATCAAATAAATGATGGACTTTATTCATAATTATCAAATTCTTTAAATTGTTGTACAAGGATATAAATGTAGCTTTTCATTAAAGATCATCTTTATTGCGAAAGGCCTAATTTCGAAAATACAGACTATGATACTGTTTAAAGTAAATTTTAAAAAAACAAGACAAAATAATTGATAATAACACAAATGTGAAACATAAAGTGTGAGCAAAGGTTTTCATTAAGTGACATACGCCTTGAAAACTGAAAAGTCTAAGCAAAATTAAAAAGCCTGTGAGTAATTTATGTAACTTGAAAATAAACAACCCTCAAGAATGATTTTTTTTTTTTTTTTTTTTTTNATTTCTTCTTAGTTTAAATATAATCTAAACTAAGAAGAAATATTACTCAAACATTTCATAAAAATCTAGAACATTTTCAAACAAGAAAAATATGATTTATAAGTTTATTATACAACTTAAAAATAATTTTTCTGAAATTGGAAATGAGTTTTTAAATAACTAATAAACTTATACATTTCCAGATGCGAGTGCAATATTCTCATTCAATTATTAATTTTGTAAAGTTATCTGTATTTCATTATCCTATTAGGCCTTGTAGAACTAACTGTTTCATATCTAACATGCAATAACGTCAGAAGAATAGGAATTATAGTTTCTTTTTAATTTTTTTGCCTTCAAATGATTAAATGTCAAGAGAATCATTTCGTTTTGAAAGTGTAAACATGCTTGTCACCTATTTTTTATGAAAGTTTTTCTGAGATTAAAGGGGAAAAAATCGATTTTCTTATGGGCATTAAAAGAATGTAGTTTCAATAGAATGTCAAAGGAGATTTTATGTATCTCTCATTATAAAAGAAGGGTTGCTGTGATGGCGGGGATGTCATACAAGAAAGAATAGACTTTTTATTTTTGAAAAGAAAAACATGTTATTATTACGATGTTTTACTTCTGTTCTAATTTCATGTAAACTTTATGGTTTTCTTTTTAAATGATTATTGTGTATTAATATAAAATAAATTTTTGACATTTAAGTTAACTCTTTTGTTTCATTTAAATTGTTTAAGGTCAATTTTTTTGACCATTTCCTACTGAAAGATAATAGATGTTAAATTGATAATGTGTGTTTTTTTTTCAACCACAGTGTGAAAGTAAAAAATTATGAATTCTATAAATTAGCAATTTTTCTCGATTTTATATGAGCTTTTTTTTGATATAGCAATACCAAAAGCTGATGAAAGAGTAATTGTAATTTCAGAAACTATATTGTGAAATTTTTAGTTGTGCAAACAAATATTTTTACATAGTGTTTTAGTAATTATAGTTAAGTGGCTGTTTTATTTTGAAGTATATTAAAACACTAACTCAGCAGATTGAGTGTTAACCCATCATTAAAGTTTTTTTTTAATGATTGAATGATTACTAATGCTAACCGTGACATTGGCAATTTTGTAAAAATTTATGTATATTTCACAATTTTATGTATTATTAATTTGTTACTAAATTATTTTTTTTTATTTCTATGCATTTGATGTGAAAAAGTGATTTCTAGCCATTCAGTGTAGTATTTATAACCCAATTTTATTTCATATATTTTGAATTACACTCTATAGTTGATCACAAGATTTCAATATATAACTCAGAAATTAATACTATAAATTTTCTGTTCTTACTTTTTTATTTTATTTTTAGTCCACCTTGTTTTGAATGTAATTTAAAAAGCTTTAAATAGGTCTAAATAAGGAACCTGCATACTTTTTTCATTTTTTTAAATTGAAATTAAAATGTCATTTTACGATGATAGACACTAATTTTAGTTCAGTGGGGTTTCTAGATATTTAGTAATTATTGTTAAAAATTGTTTGATTAGCCCTGCCTCGTAAATCGCAGCTATTTTTCCCACCTCCACTGATGAGGGCAGAATTTGGGACCACTACAACACCTGCCACTTTCTGGTATAGTGAAATCATCTGCCATGCCAAATAGATCTTCCATAAAAATTAACAAAGATAGCTTCAAGCACAAACTACATGTACTGTACCATGTTGCTATAGCTCAACATTTAACACACCAAGTAAAATATATTTTAATTTACCAAAAGCATTAAAAAAAAGCACAATTAATTCCATCAAACGCGATAGTAAAAAAATGTGCCAATTGTTAGCAATTTTTTCATTATTCTTCTGCAAAGACCATTTTGCAATAAATTATTAAGTTTTTATAAGATTGCCTTTAATGAAATTCTCTGAGTGAATCATTTATTATGCTGAATTAAAATGTGTCTGAAATGATCTCTAGATCACTTCTGTTTCTTTTTTTATTCTTTGAAATACAAGAATTATATTTTAAAAGACAATGATGTGACGTGTAGGTTTTTTTTTTTCATTTATATTTTATTTTTATTTATCGATTTATTTCGTTTTGTTCTGCTTTAATTTCTGTGCACTTGTTTTTCGCTTTATTGAAATCGAAATTTTGGAGATGAAAAATAATTAATCTTATTTTTCTGTAGTTGTATGGAGGAAAAAGTTATTATAGATTAAAATTTAAAAAAAAGGAGGTTTAGCACTACATGCATCGCTTCTAAAATAATTTTAAAAAGTATTTTAAAAGTGAATTATGAAAAAATAATTATTTCCTTAAAATCTCATAATTATATATCCATTTCATCTTCTGTCTGGTATCAAATCATTAAGTAAAAATTTTCACAACAGTTTATATTTTATGTATAAATCAATAAACTATTAGTTAAAATAAGCCAGTGTTAATAAAATAATTTAGTTTAAAAGTTATTGAAAAATGTTCAAATTATAAAAGTAGTTTCAATATTATTTTTTTTTTATCATTTATCAATTCATTTTATGTTCTGCTCAAAAGCACCTGCAGAAATTTTTTTCAGAAGGAGTGATGGCAGCCAGTATTCCTTAAAATATTTCCAATATTAAATACTATCGGAAGGTATATATTTAATCAACAATATAAATTTTTATTTTTCTAACAGAAAGCTTTTTTTTTTCCTACTTTATTTAAAGAAAAGTTTAGTTAAACTTGATGTCTGATAGAATCAAGCTTCATAAATCTATATATTAATCGAATCACACCATTTTTTTAGAATAAAAATTTTACTTTATAGTTATTATTTTCCAAGAAATCATTAATTTTTGAATCACTACTTTTCTAACACTTCTTGAATAAAACTTTTTAAATACAGAAATAATTTATCTTGCGCAATTTTTGCTTAGTTATAATACTAGTTCAACATATTAAGAGATGTTGTAAAAATTTGATTTTAAATAAAGGCATAATTTTATGAAATATGTTACTTTATATTTTTATTTAAAAAAATTAAATTTAGAAAGTAAAAAAAGAACATAAGAAACATTCCACTACGCATGAAAAAAAAATTAATTATGATGTAGTGAGTGATTTCAATTTTTAGACTGCTCTCTGCAATTCTTCGGAGGAAAAACTCTTCAACGTCAACTTAAAACACTGAATTATGACTTTTCCTGTTGTTGGATTGTATCTTTAGTGCTTTTAGACATTAGGTAATGAATTGTTCATATTAGCAGTGATATTTAATAATTGTAAATGTTGATGTAAGATTTTATGTGTAAATATATCTTTAAAGCAAGGATTGAGCACATGGAAATCTAATTCACTATGTTTTTTTTAAAAAATAAATTCAGAGAAAATTATAAAATGAAGTAAAAGATTTGAAGAAGCACGGGATGCTTTAGAAAACACTTTATTGTAAGTTTATAGCCTATTAATACTTATTAATTATATTTTTAAGAACCACCATAATTCGTATTCCATACTCCTATTATTTAGATTTGCTTAATAATAGACAAATCTCTCATTATTACTTATATAAAACTTTGGTATAATTATGTTTATATTTGATTGCTGCTTAGCTTAGCAACAGGCTTACAACAACAAGCTTAGAGACTTAATTTAATACATTGTTTAATGCTTTAATTTTTTGGCTTTTTTAAAATTAGACTATCAGTTCATAAGACTTTGTCATGTTTTTGTATTTTTGATATGAGCGATGTGAATTTTAGCTGGTATAATTTTACTCTTTTAGATAATACTATTTTGTGTAAGTTATTAATTTCTAATCTGCTGCTTTTTTTCATATAAATAAAAATTTCATTACCTTGCATTAAATATTATGTTTGCAATGAAAAATTAGTTGCGAATGTGTTTTTAAATCATTTGTTTAATATGTGTGTATTAATATTTATTGTGACTATGAAGATTGCTTTTTTTTTTAAAGATATCATTTTTTTTAGTGGGTAGCTGTCAATTTTTAGCATTTTAGTTTTTTCGGTTGCAGAAACCCTCACACAGCGGTTGCTGTATAAATTATATATACCTTCTAATTTGACATATATCAGATATATATATGTACATATTGTCCCAATACTTGAACCAAGTTTTCCTTTATCTTCTGGATTGAGTTCAGAATTACAAGGCGTTGATAGCATTTAAAACATTGGACTTAACATGTTAGTTATTACAGTAGAAATGGAAGATTGTACTAAAGAGCATAAACTGTATTTAACACTTTAAATTGCCAACTTTTTCTCTTTTTACAACTGAACATTTTTTCATTAATTCATACCAATACTTAAAATAACAAAAAAATTATTAATTAAATTTAATAACTGTTTCATTTTTGATACATTAGGCAATGATAGTATATTTTGGCATTTAATTAATGTAATCAAATTGTTATGCATGTTATTGATAAAACTTAGTTGCTGAACTATATTCATCTTGGATTATATGAGCTTTTTAAAATGTATGTAGGTGTTTAACTTTCAAAATATATGGGTGCATTAAATTGTATTTCTAGCTGTAAACAGAAAAAGAAATGTTTCTAATTATCCAACCACAATTGAACATTTTTACATAAACAATCCAAAAATTTTATTTCAAGTTATTGTATCATATTGTGGTTATGACACTGAAACTGGAATTACTCAATATTTTTCTAGTTATAGCTTTGTTAATGCAAGAAGAGAGAATTGAATTACTTTCTTTTCAAGACAAATTATCTGATTTTGACAAATTTATCATAAATGTTCAAAAAAATTATGTTCTAAAATGATATCTTATTCTGTGTTAAAATAAATAAAGGGTTTAATGGAAGAATATGTTAAGTGATTCTCGTAAATTTGTGAGAATTTTAGTGAATTTTAGGAAATTCCACTTTTATTGTATGAGGACAACAGGACTCTGCGTTAAAAAACTTATTATTAAAAATTGCTTTATTTAAATGAAAATAAATGTCATATATTTACTGATCAACTATAACATGTTCTTAAATTTGGAAATCTGTTCGTTTTCAAAATGTCACTTTGCCTGTTTTTCCTCTAAGATCTTCAACTTAGTGATTAATTGCATTTTCATGATTATTTTCTTCTAGGAGTCATGACCCAAGTGAATTTTGATAAGAGATTCATTCAATATTCATCCTTTCTTTCATCTTACCTGCATAACATCCCAGCGATCGAAAGTGAGGCCCAAGCTGCATGTAGGTGCCGAAGAATTAGACAAACTGCCAATAACACTTAACATTGCTGATCCTGAGCTCGCTGTTTTGATTGATTGTCTACATTTCAATAAATTCATGGAATGCTTTCATGTGTGATTTGGTTTTAAGGGTGAAAGTATAAAAGAAAATGGAGTCGACAAAATTTATTTTTTTCCCTATAGAATATAATAAATGTTGACATTGTTTTGAGAATGTGAATATTTGTCATTGTTATGTATAAATCGCTGTTGGGCACTCAACTTTAAATCTATGCAAATAGTTCATTGTTTATAATGGTCTGTTCATAATAGCGTTTAGACTATGCCCTGATGTGTGTTATGTTTGATTGTTATTGAAAATTAAATATATTCATGAACTGTAAAACTAAATTCATTATTAAAATATTTCCTGATGATGTGTGTTTTTTTATAATGTGTAATAGTTTTCATACTAAATTACTTTTCTTTTTGCGATTGATTTTTTTATTTAACGACATTTTATTAACTTATTTTTGTGTACGTGGGAGTAGAGTCTTGCAATTAGAATTTTTGTCTTTACTCCTTATGAATTGACTCGACATTTCAAGGTTAAGCATTTTTCTGCTTCACGAACTTTTCCATCTCTATTTCAAAAAATCTTCCCTTTTCCCCATGGTAGTATTTTTCAGAAATAAATGGTAATATTTGCAGATACCACGGTAGCGAAGAGAGGAAAAGTGTGAAGAGTGGGGAAATCGCATAATCTTGAGGCTCTAATTTTATTTACAGTGAGTATATTTATAGCATTTAGATCTTTCTACTAAGGCTCTGTGTCTGGTTCAAATGCAAGTTTTAATTACTTTGTGACATGATGCAAACACAATTTATTACAATATTATCAACAGGTGCTCTACTGGGCGACAGTACGAGTTTCGATGATTTTCGGATCCCTGCAATCAGAATTTTGACTAGCTAGAGCAAAACTAATGTAAACAAAACTAAAAAGAGGAAAAATCATAAAATAGAATTACATTTTTAAAATGTGCTCTTTTCAAGTACACTAAAAAGGAAAAAATTATTTTTTTCAGGACAACGTCTAAAACGAAAAACAGATCTCGTCAGTTTCTTACTGTCAAAGAGTTTCGAAGTGATCTTTTTTTTTTTATATTATTCGCTCTTGTGTTGATTTTTCGTCAGTGCTTATGAAAAGTGCGGGGGGGGGAATAACTTTCCCTCCTCCCCCCTGAATAACTTTTGATCTAAAACTCAGTTGATCTCCACGTTCTTAAGATTTAATCTTAATGATTCGAGGGGATGACCTCAAATATGCTAGTTAATTAGTGCAAACGATATTTTAAGTTATGAAATCAGACATGGAAACATAAATTCTCTATATGAATATACCTTCTTTTTTTTTAAGGGATATGAATTTTCAATCTCTAAAATATAAAATAATAAATATTGGGTAGCCCCAATCTGATAAATATGGTCCCCATAGTTTGGACCCCTTATTGTTAATTTTACTCTTTGCGTACTTCGCAATAGCTCGAAAACGTTTAAAGCGAATTGAAAAATTTTTGCACACAGTTAAAAAATTTGATTATCCAAAGATAATTCCATGCAAAAAAAATAAAAAATTGTTATAAATATGTATTATTTTTTTATTTAAAAATAAGCGAAAAATTATGAATTGTAAGGTATAAAATTTTTTATATTACTATAAAATATGTAATTTTACATGGCAAAATACGAAATCGGTCGAATAGTTCCTGAAAAATCGAATTTTAAACAAGCGCATATTTCAAAATTCGATTTTTCAGGAATTATTCAACCGACTTCGCTCAAAATTTGCATTTTGCCGTGTCAAATTACATACTTTAAAATGATGTAAAAAATTGTACATCTTACAATTCGAAAATTTTCGACTATTTTATTCATAAAATAATAAATATTTACTAAAAATCTATTTTCTGCGTGGAATCATCTTTGGAAAAAAAAAATTCATAATTATGTACAAAAATTTTCAATTCGCTTAAAAAGTTCTCGAGATATGGCAAAAAACACAAAAATAAAATTAACATTATTAGGCCCAAACCTTGGATCGCTCTCCTGACCAAACTATGGGGTCCATATTTCCCAGATTGCGGCTACGCCTTTTATTTTGGGACTTAGAAATTCGAATCCGTTTAAAAAAAGATACGTTTATTCAGAGAAAGTACGTTTTTGTCTGATTTTATTACATAAAATATCGTCTGCGCTAATAATTTAGAATATTCGACGTTACCCCCTCGAAACATTAAGATTGAGTTGTAGAATGTGAAGATCCGATCATTAGATCAGAAGTTATTCAGGGTAATCCGTTTTTGTTTTTCTTTAGCGCACTGTACACTGAGCCTGATTTTTTATGACTCTTAGTTCTTTATTAGTGATTATGACGTTGATCTATAGTCTATGAAGTTGATCTAGAAGAAAAGTGTTCGATCATAAAGAACCTAGATCACCCGTTTCACTCTTTCAAATGCTGCTGCTCAATCTAGGACCACTTAATTCAAAAATATTTCAAAATACTGGTAATGTACGAGACAAGACATTGGTTGTCTCTGAACATTTCATCCTTTTTTAGCCATTTCGGAGCTTTTTATTCATTATGCTATTTAAGGTCGAAGTTTTCAAAATCTAAAATTTATCACCTTAAAAAGTTTAGTTAAATTTTTTGCCGGTAAAAGCGAAAGCTCTCTAAGAAACCTTAGCAAACTTCAAATTAAATCAGAATGTTTTATCTCAAAAACAAATCCTACTGACAATACAATTTCTGCTAAGCCCGAGTTTTTTTGGAATAATAATATCTAACGAACACGAGACAATCTGGGGTTCGTATATATTGCTGTTAATAGGGAAAGCACCTGAATCAAATTGATTAAACCAAGAAGTGATTGTTAAAATAATTCGAAAATATTTTGCTAACAGTAGGTGAAACTGGCAACATAAGAACAAAAGCATGGTATTTAAAAAATAAGAACATACAGAACTAAATAAATGTTAATTAGCAACCCAACCCAATTACCTCTTCTTAAAAATCAAAAGCTAATATATTTTAAGGGAAGGGCTTTGGAGATTTATTCACTTTATCAGATATAATGCCATCTATCCACCAGATCAATTCAATGTCGTCTGCCAATACTTTTTTTTATTGTTTATTTCCGCTTCCATTACAAGAAAGTAAAAACGATCACCCAATGAATTTATTTATCTTGGTAATAAGTCATTAAAAGAGCAGAACAAAAAGGAAAAATAAATCGAATATTCCCTTCCAAGGTCGATATCGTTGAACTAGGCTTACTTAGACAGTTCTCCAATAAAGGTAAACTGCCCGTTGAAGGAGGTCAGCAGCGTGTTTTGCCTCCATCAATGATCCATAAAATGGCGAAGAGAAAAAGAAGTCTTGATGAAGGCATGCTTTACTTCAGGCTATTTGTAGAAAGTGGAAGGATGTTATTATCTCACTTTTCTTTTCTAATTGCTTGCTTTCCAAACCTCGGGCAACTGTTCAGTTTTATCAGTAGATTAATTTGGTGTTCCACAAAAAAAGAGAAGGGGAGAAAAACAGGTAATGGGTTCTTATATTGCGAGAAAGTTACATTCGTGATTATGGCGCCTAAAGTATTATATCAAGGCTATGAATAATGGTTACGCTGTGCCCAGGTTCAGAATTTACATCCTATTCCTTTCAGATCGCAATTATTTTGTTCGGGGGGTTTAATTTAAAGCGTTTTAAGAGTTTTCTTTGAATTACTTTGACAAATAAAATAAAGAAAAAAAAGCTGTAGTTTGAATTCCTTTAAGTTTTCATTTTAGGCATGGTTTTTCCACTTGGATGGAAAAAAATTAAAATTCAGGGTTAGATTGAGGTATAATAGGGTCTGGGGCTGATATCTAACTTGGGGCCATTTCTGTAGCAAATTAGGTCCCGCAGTGGACTGATCGTAAAGACACGGTTCCCAGTAGAACACCGAAGTTCAGCATCACTGGCTGCGATCAGTAAGCGGGTGAGTGACCACTTTGATCAGTCTGCGTAGGAACCGAGGGTGTGCAGTATAGGTCCTCGTTAAACTGTTCTACCGTAAAGTGCTCGACTTCGCACGCTGGCCGTCGGGTTACCAAAGCCGGGGAGCCATCCTCTCTGCAGAGGATAGAAATTACTTTCTTATAGCGCTTTTCAAATCAAAATAACTAAATTCTTTAATAAAGAAATATGTATGTTTTCATAATAACCATTTTCAACGTTTATAGTAGTTTTTTTAAGTTTTCATATCGAAGTAAACCATAATTCGGCTTATTTTAATCATTTTCAGCGTATTACGCCCGAAACAAATTCAACTATCGTAACTTACAATAATCAGAATCGGTTGGGGAAAAAAAAGTATGTTTATTCAGTGGAAGTACGTTTTCGTGTCTGATTTCGTAATTTGAAATATCGTCTGCACTTGTTAATTATCATTTTTGAAGCTACCCTCTCAAACCATTACGACTACTTTTTTTTTTTAAATCATAATTGTTTCTACTGTGTTAAATGCGTTTCTACTTTTCCAAGAAAAAAAAAGAAAAAAAAGCGAGAAAATTTTGCCCCCACTCTTTTTATTTCTTCAAGGGATATAATAATGTTGCATGCAACTTCTTCTCAATAATCAATCCATGGAAATTTTTCGAAGAATTTTTTCAAATCTTTCTAGCGCAGTTAAATCAGCCATTCATGAATTAGTTTTATTCTTCGTTTTTCCAAACGATTGGGAATTCTTTGCAAACCATTCGCTGTCCGATTTGTAGTCCACCTGTGATTGGAGGAGATATTTCCCATGGTCTTCTGGCTAAAGTAGCATCATCCCCTGCAATGAAATAAATACAAATTTTAAGTTCATTATAAAACTTTCCAATGTATCTAGCTGTATTCACCATAGCCTGGTTGGTAGGGACCGTTCAGCACACGTTCTAGAGGTCGTGAATTCGATACACTGCCTTCCCTTGCAATAAATGGTGACTGGTGAACGCTAAATCTGTCAGGTTATAAAGTCCTCCATGTTCCCTTTAAAAAAAATTAAAACCTCTGGAGGTACTGAGTTGGAGATTGTCCGTTCTCTGGTTCACGTCAAAATTAAGATCTATTGATGAATGAAAGGATGTATGAATGAGTCCGATCTTTAAAACGGACTGTGACGTGTATGTGGCTGAAGACGTACTCTTGGCATTAGATGGCAAAATACATATTGAAAAAATTATTATTTTTAAACTGTGATAATAATAATAACCTCCTACATAAAAGAGGTTAGCATATTTTTTTCAGTGTTAGTAAGCGAAAGCCGAAATTTTTTGAAAATAGAAATTTTATGTAATTAAGAGAATGCTAAAATATAATCTTTTGTTAGTCTTACTTTTTACAACTGCATAAAATAACTATTAAAACTGTTAAAATATCTAGTGATGATAATTTTTTTTATTAATATATTCATACTACTTAAGAAAACATTATATGCGACATCTTAGCCGACTTGATAATTTTGTGATGATTCGCCAACGTAATAATTTCGGAGATTTGGAGATACTTGGCGACAAAATTATTTTTCTGAAAAATTCGAGTATCAAAGCGATAGGAGCAATGTTTACGGAGTTATACGAGAATTGTCTCGAATCATGTCGAAAGTTCCGAGCTTTCCTCGTCATCTCTATATAAATAGGAGTTTGCCTCAGAGAGTAGTAGAATATTAGTCTGTTAGTGACTGCGTCAGATGTCTTAAAGCCTGTATACTAAGCTATCATTTGAGCTGTAACTGATTGCTAAAAATAGCTGTATTTTCTTGAAATTTCTGCTAATAAATGTTTGGAGTCTTAAGGACTGTCTCATTCATTTCCAATCGAAACGAACCAACACCTTCTAGAAGAGAGAAGGCCTCAGCACAGATAAATTTAGTAGTCCGACGCAATGAACATAAACTGCTCAGTTGAAGAAACATAGGAAAAATGTCACTACATTCGGTCTACTAAGCTGCGTAGTGGGGGAAATACGAAAGATGTCATTACGTTTCGACTATTAAAGGATCAAATTTCTTGTTTATGGAAACCCGGGTTGAGGGTCTTCTCTCTTCCAAGGCGCATTTAACGAACCCTTTTGATCGATACTATATTAAATTTGAATTTTTTTTTTTTTTTTTTTTGCTTCTACTGGTCAGAAAAGTCTTTTACAAAACTGAGAATCATACATTAAAACTCAAATTTCGCTACCACTGGAAAAAATTTTTGCCACAAAGAGCAGCAAGTTGGAATCTCTGAACATGCTATTGCAAAAGGGTAAAAATAAAGTGAAAGCTAGCACCAAAAACTACTATTTCTAACTACATTTACTAATTGTTTCATTTTGTACAGCTATATGCAATAGTAAATCTTATTACCTAACCAACGTGTGGATAATACTCTTCTAGAATGAGTCGTGGACATATTTCCCGGTGCACCATGTAAACATTTCATGTGAAATACAATGCAATCACCCGGCTAAAAAGAAAACAAAGTTATAAAGAAACTAAAAAGCAAATATTATCCTTAGATAATTAAAGACACTAATTTTAAAGTGCAAATAGTTTTATACAGTCCCTGGCCAAATTATTAGACGCACTATAAGATTCTATGTAAAATTTTAATTATCAGGTGATACTATACAGCTTTATTGTTTTTACGTTCGTGTAGCAATTGGTTAAATTAGGCGATATATTATATAAATTCGACAATTTGATAAATTAGACGATATATTATATAAATATGGAATATTTATTATATCAGGCATTATATTAGTATATTATAATAATTAGACCAAATTATTAGACGCACTGTAAGATTCTATGTAAAATCTTAATTATGGGGTGATACTATACAGCTTTATTGTCTTGACGCGACTGTTTGCACTTGCTTACGTTCGTGTATCAATGGGTTAAATTAGACGATATATCATATAAATTTAACGATTGGATAAATTGAACGATATATTATATAAATATAGAATATTTATTATATCAGGCATTATATTAGTATGTTATAATAATTAGACAAAATTATTAGACGCACTGTAAGATTCTATGTAAAATCTTAATTATCAGGTGATACTATACAGCTTTATTGTCTTGACGCGACTGTTTGCACTTGCTTACGTNCCGTGATTACAGAACACGGAAGCGTGCGGAGCAGGAAAAAGAATCATTGAATAGAACTAGTGATCCTTCTACGACTGCTGATTCTTCTACAATTAACGTCGCAGGTTGCGAAGTTTAACTTCTTCCGCGCGGAGGGACTCCACGCACTATATATATATTTTTTTTATAATTACATGTTCTGCATTAGTTTATATGCAATACTTTTATATTTAAACATACATGTAATGGGTTTTTATTCAGGAGATTTTTTTATATACTTTCTATTTGTATTTATTTTTAACGTATTGCGTTACAATGTTAACCAATTGATGGACGAACGTAAACAAGTGTAAAACGGTTTCAGCAACGTAAAAACAATAAAGCTGTATAGTACCACCTGATAATTAAGATTTTACATAGAATCTTACAGTGCGTCTAATAATTTGGCCATGGACTGTATGTAACAAGTTTCCAAATCTTTGTGGAAATCAAAAATTCTTAATGATCAATTAAAAAGGAATAAATAAAAAGAGAAGGGAAAAATAAATGGATTTTATAGCATAAATTTTGCTACGACTTAAAAATTTTTGAGGAACTATGGGGGACTCTACCTATTTTGAATCTTAATTCATTACAAATTTCACGCAGTCGATTTTATTGCTACTCATTTATTTTCATCGACAAAATAATGTTTGTTTAGCCTGCTAAATTAAAAAAATGCAAAGATTAAAATCGACTAATATAGCCTATCATGACTTCTGACTGAAATTATATTTTAGATTTCTTTTTCAGTAGGGAGTCACGGAACTTTTTTATTACCTACGTGATTTTTCAGACTTCTGAAAGATTCGAATGTATTTTTAGTACCAACTACTGCTTCGCTTTTGTTGCCATTCAAAAACTTGTTTATGTTGCAAACCAGAGAAGAACTCGTCTGAATTTTATTTCTAGCCACACGGTCCGGTCATGTGAATATGAGAAAATAAGTTTGATATTTTTTTTTATCGTTTGCTCTCTTAAAAATGCAACCGAAGAAAATTTTTGCTTTTTTTCAAAACAGGAAATACTTGCTCAAAGCGTTTTACTGTTAGAAAAAATATTTTTATTATCATTTCCAATGCATCCGGTCTTAACAGTTAGCGTCGTTTTTCCAGTTTTGGGTTATAAAAGCGTTAGTTTAATGGAAAATAAATAATAACAACGGTTTCTAAAGTTTGTAAGCTTCCCTTGGTTGCGTAGCGCAATTATATTGCCGGATACATGGTTAATTTTTAATGTTTATTTCCTTTTTTCCCCAGCTTCATTTTTATTTATTTAGGAAACATGTTTTAAACTTAGCGTTTAATTGTTTTGGAGTAGGAGGAAGTTGAATTAATTTTTGAAACGCAGTTTTCTTGAACTTCAAAAGACACATGTTTTTTTTTTTCTTTTCCTTTGTTCCTTTGAAAGTTGTTCAACAGTTCAAATAAAGAACTGTATTTTTTTTAAAAAATGTTTTAAGTAAATTGATTACTTTACTGGTTTTTAAAGAACTACGTTAATGCAAACATGTAATTCAATGTTACTCAAACTTTTTTATTCATTGATTTGACTTGGAATTCACGGCCTGAAATTGATCCGAAAATTCATAAAACCCTTCAAATTCAAAATTTAATTCCGAAATTCCGGGAAAAAAATAACTATAAAATAAATAATTATACAAACGAAATTTTTGAAGGATTAGGACTTCCGTGATTTATTTCTTCTTTTTGTTTCTTTTTTTTTTTTTGAATGGTAACAAAATTAAGGCCTTATCGGTTATAAAGAACATGTATTGGCGACGGCTCTTAAAATTTTTTGCCAACTCAAACATTACATAAACAACAAGTACAAATTTTAATAACGCTATAAATGTCAAAATTCTCGATCTTTAACAACATATAGAGACATCTTCCCAATTTATCTAATGTGAGTCGTGGTGGCTCAGGAGATAGAGCGCTTGCCTCCCAATAAATTACTGTTACGGATTCGAATTCCAACTCGATGGCTGGAGGATACGAATTCAGCACCTGGCTCACACCAACCACATTGCTGACGTAAAATATTCTCAGTACAAGGCGGATCATGGGTTAGAGTCCCCTTGCCGTTAGGCTAACCGTGGGAGGTTTTCGCTTTTTTTTTCTATGTAAAGGAAATGTGGGTCAGTTCCATGTAAAAGTCCTCTACGAAGGCAAAATTTCTCCCAGTATTTGATCCAGGATTTCCTTGTCTTCTGAATTGGGTTCAAAATTACAAGGCTACAGAGTTGAGCATTGTTTGTCGTAAACGCAGAATTGGTTCGACTGATCAACGACGGTTATAAAATAAAATAAATTTAACTAATATATATTGGTACTAATTTATACTAAGAAGATCAACTTTTTCTTCTTTTTTTTTTTTGCTTTTTTAAAAAATTTTATTTAAAATTTTTGTGAACGTCATTTTGTTTTGTGTTTAAAAAAATAGTAAGAAAAATAACCTTAAAAAAATATTGGTGGAGGTCTACGATTTTTTCCCATTTAAGATTAAAAGGTTTACACGTAAACCACGTAAAAACGTTTTTAGGTTTACATTAAAAGGTTTTTGCTTGGTGAAAATAAACCTTATTTTGCTATCTGGGTATGGCTTTCAGTGAGCACCCATAATTACAATTTTCCGAGTTTAAATTACCTTGCCTTAGATTTTTCAAAATCTGACAGCAAATTTATTAAAAATAGGTGTTTGATATTCCAAAAATCCAGGTCATTCCATCTCTTTTGTTATTGCATCAGACATAATTAACAACACTGTTTATTACCTTCAATTTAAGTAGGCATTGTTGACTTTGCGTCATTTATAACTCTACAATTTTACAATTCCTATATAATTAGAGATAGAACATAATTATTTTAAGAACTGTTTCGTAAGAAATTACTATAACAAAAACTATTTTTTTTAGAGAATCAACTCCTAATCTATCACAAAATATTTGTGTTACAGATTAGGTTAATTCCTATATAATTAAAGATGGAAAATAATTATTTTAAGAATTATTTCTTAAAAGATTACTATAACAAAAGCTATTTTTTCAGAAAATCAACTCCTAATTTATCACAAAATATTTGTGACAGATTAGGCCAATTCCTATATAATTAAAGATAGAAAATAATTATTTTAGGAACTATTTCGTAAAAGATTACTATAACAAAAACTATACTTTTAGAGAATCAACTCCTAATCTATCATAAAATATTTGTGACAGAGATTATGCCAATTCCTATATAATTAAAGATAGAAAATAATTATTTTAAGAGCTATTTCGTAAAAGATTACTATAACAAAAACTATTTTTATTCCAAAGAATCAACTCCTAATCTGTCACAAAATATTTGTGACAGATTGGGTCAATTCTTATGTAATTAAAGATAGAAAATAATTATTTTTAGACTGTTTCGTAAAAGACTACTATAACTAAAACTTTTTTTTTAGAGAATCAACCCCTAATCTGTCACAAAATATTTGCATTTCACGTTTGGAAAACTTCCGTGAGAGCGATTAAAACACTAAACAAAATCTTTTTGCGATAATATATTGATAATAACGTAATAATAAAACGAATTATTCCTTCTTTCTTAAAGAGTATTTCAGCACGAAAGCAATAACCTTTTTGTAAACTGTTAACATTGACTATCCTTAAAAGTTGTTTATTATCACGCTTCCTACTCCAAACAGGAAGTATCCTCACACATTACCTGCAAATCCCAGCACAAAATGTTCCATTGTTCTTTGTTCGCTTCGATATCAGGCACTTGTTGATAATTTTTTTCCGAACAAAGCGTCTCGTCGATTACTTTATAAGGCTGAGTTGTTTCGAACTTTCGGGGTGAGTACCATCCCCACTTGTGAGAGCCCGCAACGAATTGCACACACGTTTCCCGTGGTACGGGGTCGACTGGCATCCAAATCGAACAAACCTGTAAAATATGTTTAGCATTTGATTAGTTCAAATATGATGAAACAGAAAAAATAAACAACTGGAATAATTCACATTTTATGCATTCTGTAGGCAGGGCCAGATTACCTTGGGCCCCCTTAAAAAAGTTTTTTGAAAATAAATTTTAAAAATTAGGAAAAGCAATGATTTCTTTTTAAAAAAAATCAATTTCAAATATATATTAATAAAATACGATAATTTTTTTTAGTTCTTGTTTAGCAAAATAAAGTAAAATTTAATTTATTATTATTTATTCTTATTTTAAATTTGCTTTCTTAAATAAAAAGATATACTATAAATACTTTTATATTTGAATAAATAAAAAATTTACGAGAAAAAAAAATTTAATCTAAGGGCCCCAAAAATTTGAATGGCCTAGGGCCCCGCTTGCGCTTAATCCGGCCCTGTCTGTAGGGTTCGAAGTCTCCTACAAAAAATTAAAAAAACGGTGTTCTTTTTTTTCTTTTTTTTACATCAGACTTTGAACAGTCGACCCAATTTTTGATTTACGACTACTAATGTTCATCTCGGTAGCCTTGTAATTTTTGAACCAATTCAGAAGACGATGAAACTCCTGGATGAAACCCCCAGAGGTATTGATTTGTTATGGGAACATGGAGGACTTTGCGTCTCGACAGATTTAAAGTGCATCAGCCACCATTTTACTACACTTCAAGTCTTCACGTTTTTTACGTCTTCAGCAGGAGGGGATCGAACCCATGAACTGCTGGACATGGGCCCAGTGCCCTTCCGACCAGGCTATCGCGGCCTTCACTTTAGTTTAAAGATAACACCGCAATAATTTATAGAATTCATTCACCACCTCTCCTGGCGGGTTAGAATGCTGTTGTTGTTGTTCATTTAAGTAGCACTAGAGCTGCACAATGGGCTGTTGGCGACAATCTGGGAAACATCCCTGAGGATGATCCGAAGACATGCCATCACAATTTTGATCCCCTGCAGAGGGGATGGCATCCCCATTTCGGTAGCCCGAGGATCTGCACCTGTTTAACTAGGACCAATACCGCACACCCTCGGTCCCTACGCAGATTGATCCAAGTGGTCACCCACCCGCACACTGACCGCAGCCAGTGATGCTTGACTTCGGTGATCTGCTGGGAACCGTGTCTTAACGATCAGTCCACTGCGGGTTAGAATGCATTTTACCCTTATTTGCTCCTCTCGGCCACTGTGGTTTCTCTTGTTCTGTTTCTTATCTTTTTTCTCACTCGGCTCCCGTGGTTTTTCTAGTTCTTTTTTCTCATCTTTATTTTCCCATTTTTCATCTACAACTTTACGTTTCATATTTCAAATCCTTTTTGTTTCTTCTCCTTCACGCATGGCAAGTCTTGAAAATGGGTGCCTGCTTTTGAGAGCTTGGAAGCATGCGTACTGTTATTTCCAATTAGTATATTTTTTAAGCGAATTTAATTTTCAATCAAATAACACTTTGAATGATACGTTTTGATCTCCCTCTAGTTGTAATTCCATTGTGTAAATGTATATAAATGTTAAGAAAGGTGATTTTAAAGTAACCATTTATTAAAGTATGCTTCGTTTCTTCAATGATCTATAACAAGAGGATGAAACTAATATTCTGCTAATGCTAGTGACCAATTTCGTATCCTTATTTCGATAATATGACAATAATAATTGTATATACCGTTATTTCTTTCTGTTGATTGCTGTTTTTCTTTTCTGGCAATATCGGAAATGGAAATAAGATATCTATGATATGTAACCTGATATGGCGTGGTGTCCCTCTCCCATTAAGGGGTGTGGTTGATTGTGTCACGTGTAGGAACCCCGCATCTGTTCTCCAAATTAAATATAAATGGGATACCATACCAAAAAATCTCTTATAATGATATTATAGGTAGAACAGATCAGCCATATTTGGGTATTATTTTGAATGAGAATATTATGAGAATATTATGTATAACAAAGCATTGGGTATCAATCGATTTAAGCAAAATAGTACAATGAAATTGGTAGCTTTAATTTAAAAAAAAATAGGTTTGGATTTTTAATTTAGATCTTAATTAACACATTAAAGAAGCCCGCTTTCCACTGATCGAATTCATCGGTCCAAGAGGAGGTGGCGAAGGGTGTGCCAATATGTGTTATAGTAAGAGAAAATCGTGCCAATTCTGAAGTAAAATATAAAAATGGCACATCAAAATTTGTAAACAAGTGTCATTTTGTTTTAAAATCGTTCTTCATCTTTCTGACACTTGAAAAATTTCGTCCATCCTGTACATCTCGGACAACTTTTCTACATAAGTTTTGACGAAGCAGTTTAATTTTTGTAAAACTCCTAATACCTCCAGCATTCGAGGCTTTTTCAAAATATTTTTTCCAGTGATAATGACTTTAAACAGAATTTATTTTTAACTAATAGAAATCTTATAAACTTTTATCAGAATACGAACATTAGACTATTTGATCTCTTTTAACGTCTTCTGATCTCTATGACGCCCCAAGTGTGTAAAATTTTTTAAAGTGGTAGCTAATTTATTTTTTAAAACATACTTTAAAGTATTCATATCTGCAAAACATATTTTCATTTTATTTATCGCATACATTTATCGTAAATGTATTTATCGTATACATTTGAAGTATCATATGAAAGGCAACTTTATTGCAATTATCTCATGGTAACTCATTTAAATAGTAGCCTTAATTATTCATATTTTATATGTTTTACTATTTAATTTGCTACCAAATTACAAAAAGTTAATATAAAATTATATATTATAAAAAAATTACCAAAGCTTTTGCACAAAGCCGAACAGTTCCCTGGTCAGGATTCCCAAGGTTTGGAAAATTTTTTAAAGCGGTAGCAAAAGTGTGGTCTATCTAGATGTTTACATGGAGGACCCATTCATGCATTCATTCATTCATCGTTTTTTCATTCAAACATCGTAATTTTGACCTGAACCAGACAACGATCAATCTCCTATTCGCTACTGCAGAGGTATAATTTGTTGTGGGAACATGGAGAACTTTGTCACCCAACAGATTTAACCTGTACCAGTCACCATTTACTACACGGACTGTCTTCGGACGGCTGGATTCGAACTCCCGTTCTCGAGAACATGAGTCCGGCTCCCAGCCAACCAGGATATCCCGGCTTGGAATAATAAGTCACACGTCTCAATAAGTTTATAAAGTCAAATTTGGTGCTTCAGGGTTCAAGAAATGCCATAATTTTTCTACTAAATTAAATATAAAAATAATTTCTTTTTTCGGGCAATCCGGAAGTGTTGGCAAGTGTGGATTTAAATAAGAAGAAAGCAAGCCATAACATTAGTCACGAAAATAATTTTTTGCTATCACATTTTAAGTGTTCTCCTGATCGTTGCCAGTCTCTTTTTTCAAATTCCACATGAAACTAATCTGTTATTTTTAACGTAATGTTTCACGAGGAAGCAATTACTTTCATTTACTTTATCTTAATTAAAAGCAAGAAACATAAATCATTCTCAGTTAAAAAGAAAAACACATCAAATTGTGAACAAAAGATCTTTTTTTAGATGCGAAAAAACAGCCTATCACGTATTCTCTTATACAAATTACTCTTTGTTTTCATAAATTAAATGACCACAGCAAGCTTTCAGCGAGAACGCTATTAAGCCTAATTCTTATCTTCGCCCACAAAAAGCCATCAATCTTCGGGTTGATTAGGTTTCCAAAATCATTCTCTGATTAAAATCTCTTTTATTTGCAACCGTTTCCAGCTATTCATAATCTTCAGGTTATCAGTTGGCACATATCAGTTGACCAGGACAATTTCAGAATATTTGCTTTGCACTTTGAAGAAGTTATTGTTCGCAATTCATTTTGATAAGAGGACAGTTATCTGAGATTGTGTTAGAATGAAAAATGTCGTGAAATTTGAGCAGTTAGAGTAAAGCTTAAATTGAATATGTATGAGTCCTAGTTAATTTTAAGGATCAGAATAAATTTGCATTTATTATTTCTCGTTTATTTCTCATGCGAAAATCAAACTTCATTTGAAGAATCTTGTTTTTAATCTTTTGTTGAATAAAATACAATTTCAATGAAACAATTTATTCAAGAAAATCTAAGGAAATTGTGAGCATTGTATCTGTAAAGCATGGCTACCAACTTTCTGCGCTTTGTGTTAAACTTTCTTCAAATATTAGAAAATTTTATGTTTTAATTAATATATAATTCTCTATTCGGGTAAATTTGATTCTAATTTTTTTTCCGCATCTTTGCACGCAAATGACTTAAAAATTCATATCGAAACTTACTTTTTTTTGTTAAAGTGAGCACATGAGTTTCATTATTAGATTTCATTTTGTGGATACATAAATATTTAAACATGAAAGTGAGGTCACCATATAGCTCTTTTTTAAAACTATAGTGATAGGTAACAAAAAGAAATATCCATTTGGTGTAAATACAAACACGCTTTTTCGTACAGATGTTTTCTTATATATTGATTACTTGGTGGTTAGGCACTAATGGATTCAGACATACCAACTAGCTTCGGATGGCTTATTAATACCTTTTTGGAATAATTCATGGTATAGTAAGTTCGATTTATGGGGTTTTTACTCTCTGCTACTTTAAATAATTCAGAGACTTACGTGATATGCCATTTTGTTACAGTTAAACCGCGTTGAAACTTTTAAAAAATTGGCCAAATTAACGGAAAATCTACATATTTTAGCTTGTAGCTTCCAACGTTTTTAAAATATTTTGTCAAATCTGGAATAGTGTGCATCTCTGTGGGTTAATAAGGCAGCTGTTATTCCATAGCTTTACCATTCACCGCAGCAAAGAAGAAAAAATCAATCTTACGTTTGGCATTCGTCATGCGTTTTTGGTACTAGATATATTTATTTAAAGAAATTAAAATGTTTTAATAGCTTCAAACATAGTGAATTACAATAATTTACCTCATTGTTACAATTATTTTTTTCCAAGGGGGAAAGAACCCTACTAGGC